ACTTGATTAGCGCCGTGTTTAGTTCCAAAATATTTCTTCAAACTTCCAACTATTCCATCACATCAAAACTTTTCTACACACATAAACTTCCAACTTTTCCATCACATTGTTCCAATTTCAACCAAACTTCCAATTTTGGTGTGAACTAAACACAGCCTAGATTGACAAAAGATGAATACCACCAGTACTGTATGTAGAGTGACATATCTACTTTCTTTTCTTAAAACATATTACAAACGTAGACGCGTATAGCACATGCATACTCACCTTTATAAACGCATACACGCACACCTTATCCCTACAAACACATTCGAAAAACTAGGCATACATATATCTTGAGATTGATGAAATCACCACGGATGACTCGTTGTCGACGGGTACGTCGCCTACAGCTAAAAGAATAATTAGTTATAAATACAAGCATCTGTGATCTAAAATTTAAACCGGGTGAGTTTGTAACATCACAAGAAATCTAAAAGGTTGATCTACGATCACTTCACAGTAACCTATCTAATGTAGTACCAGTAAAGTGGGAAGTGGATTCTAATCAATCACGCTCGATGTGGTGTTTTGTGGACGAGCATGGTATTGGGAGAGCCAGCTGTCAGGTGTAGTTACGTATTATTGAGTGTGCATGTTTGGTCATAGCCACAACTCAATTTGTTATCGGTCTGGCTTAAAACATTTTTTTTTGAGAAATGGAGAATATTGATTAATGCGACATGTTTCTCGAGATTATAAACATGCATCATGATTTTCTTAAGAAAAAAACTCTCTATATATGAATTTCTTGAGAAAAACTATTACTAATAGATTTTTCAACTTCATAATAAGTTAGTTAATTTATTGACTTTTCCCTCGATTAGTGATAACAAAATCATCTAACTATTCAACCATTCCACCGTTTAAAGAAAAGAAAAGCTCAAAATGTGGTAATGTTTAGCCAGGAATTATGTGTAGAACAATAAAGTATGACTTGCCACAATTATAACAGCCAACCAAACGCTAATAAACTATGACACATTCAATATTTGGCGTGACAATGCGTGGCTTGCACCAAAAAATTAAAAAAAAACATCTTTCACAACGATCATGTACATGAATGATGTGCATAATTTTGATCTATCTAGTGAACTCCTCTGTATTATTGCTAGACCTGCCATATGCAGTACTATCAGGCATCAGCGGAGAAAAAAGACGAGCGAGCGAGCGGACAACAAGAGGAGAAAACGAACAAGCGAAAGTTCCCATCTTTTCGTCCATACAGCATCAACCGCTGTTGAAAATTTGAATTTCAAAACTTAATTGTTTAAAGTTTTTTTTATCGAGGTTTATTTTTTTTAGCATTGACTTACTCTCGCTCAGAACGCACGCGTATATAAAAAGTTACTCACAAATTGTTACTTATTTTTTTTACTTATTATCCGTATTTGACCAAACCAATCGGCGCGCGGCAGTTCTCGTCATGATGACAATCTCACTGCACGTATCATCAATCACAGCTTGTATCTGCTGGAGTTAAATCTACAACCACACTACTCATCTCATTCTTTTGGCGTGTAATTAAATTCTTAATTATCATCTCGATCTGTTGTTGGATGGAGTAGGTTAATTTTTCTAAGTGGCATGCAAACAAACCACTGAAATCCAAGCCCACCGTTTATCGATCATCCCTGTTCTTTTGTTGTAACTACATATTAATTACTTCCTACGAACTTTGCCGGTGTATTATCGGTAACTCAACAACCAGTAATTAACATACAATTATATAGTATATACTTGTGCAGGTAAACAGAGGGAAGAGAACAAGCCGTAGTCGACGAACAAGTATGAACAAAATTTAAGGCCATTTGTGTCGTCTTTATTCATTCTCCATGCCATATGATCCGGGACCGTTCATATATGGTACGGTAGTACCACAAAGCCACCTACCCTCCTCCGGTGTTTAGTGGAGATGGGCCTAAATTATGTCATGACCAATCTTGCATAATTAACCTCACATCTCATGACCCTTTAGTTTACACAGTACAGATGATGTTTCAAAAATGACATTTTTTTTCCAATTTACTTCCTCCGTCTAAATTATAAGAGGTTTATATCTCTTTACACGGTTTTGAATGATATATTTTGACCATTAAATTTATTGCACGTTATGTTTTCCAACGAATATGAAATTAGCATCATATGAAAAGATTTCAGAATATGAATACAATGATATAACATGCATATACTTAGCATAAATATATTTAGTATGATTATTAGTCAAAAAGTTATTCAATTTGATTTTTCTAAAAGTAAGGACGTCCTATAATTTGACGGAGAGAATACTATTGTAAACTTTACATTGCTCATCAAATTCATCTGTTACTGACAGAAACAAAGCGGAAGGATTTCTTGTACATCTGGAACATAAACGCTACTTGAGTACAATTAATTTGTTGAAAAAAGTAAGCAAGAATTGTGTGTCTAGGTAATTCTACTTTCAAATAATAATAATAATAATAATAATAATAATAATAATAATAATAATAATAATAATAATAATAATAATAATAATAATAATAATAATAATAATAATAATAATAATAATAATAATAATAATAATAATAATATAGCCCTGCTTAAAATTTTGTGGCTGCTTTGGAACACAAGATTCCCAAAATACAGGAATAACTTAAAAACACACAATTTCAGTGTCCTGGCCATAAAACATATGGATTGAAAAAAAATATGCATGAAAGCTACAAGAATAGCGGTTTGGATAAAGCAAAGGAAAACCACATGAATCAAAAAAGAGATAGACACAAATACCTTTTTTTAAGAGGTTAGATCTCATATTAAAATTCCTTCAAAATTTCTATGTTTGGAGCCAATCCAAAGAAATTTTATAGGATTTTTGATGGATATTCCTTTGATCGAAAAGATCACATAGGAAAATTTCCCAAAGGATTGAATTACCCCCAAATTCCTTGAGAAACCCTTTGTTTTCTAAAGGAGCCCTTTGAGGAAATTCTACTGCTTGCTCTGAACTTTGTAATGTTTCACTATTGATCAAGAAATCCATCTGTTCCGAATGGATCAGTGAACATACTATCTGACGAGTTTTCCTTTTGGTCGCAAAAATATTCCTGGGGTATATTGTCATCAAGAACTGGACCACCACCACTACCAGCAGTAGCAGCAATGCCCTGCCGGGCGCAGCCATTTTGCTTGCAGCTAGCCATCTGCTACACATCCATGCTCTCGTGAAGATAGAGAGGGGAACAAAGGAGTACTGCTACACATACGATTCAATTATACAACTCATATATAACTTGAGATAGACAACTATAGATTAATTAAAGGAGAACATGTTTATATGCGCTGCGGCTGTTTATAACCGTTAATCAAATTCAATCGTACATGAATCGGACAGTTGGATTCGTATGCATAGCAAATTTCCGAGAAGGAAAAAACGACTTTGCAATGCGACCCATGACATGCGTCGTCTGCTTTGGCAAACCACAACAACAGCTTTTGCTCCCCCCTCGTCCAAAGTTTCACCTTTGCTAGCTCAAAAGTTGCACACACACATCGCATATGGGGAGTCGGCATCCATGCTGTATTCCATCCTTCTTTTTTTTTTTTTGGACTCTTAATCTCTGAATCATCTCCTGTTGTACCAATTCCAAGGAGTCCAAGAACTCGAGATGACCCGATTATCTAGAGTCAACCTGACTGCATGCCTACCTAGGAATTCTACCAGTAGATGATGCTGTAAAAAAAAAAACTCAATGCCTGACCGTTTTACTGAGCATTGCCGGTTTGACCGCTCCTTTGGGATGATACCTAGTGGCTGACCAACACTGAAAATCATCAGTAAATTCAGTGATGCCATGGCAGTGGCAGTACCCTACTGGCTGACCTGACCATACTGAAAATCTTCAGCAAATTCAGTGAGGCCATGGCAGTACTCATTCACGGTAGCAAGACAATGATGAGATCCTGTGCCCTTTTCTTCTCTCTCTCTCTCTTTTGGGAGATGATGAGATTCCTACTGGATAATAGGAGAGCATCAATGCATCATGCTAGCAGTACAACAATTGCCATACCAGTGATCGAGCTGGATGCACGGCATGCTTTACCCCAAAAACGAACTGAGAAAAAGGGTGTGGTTTGGCTTCAATGTGAACATTACACGGTCCTTTTTATTGACTTCTATTTACGTGGTTCCACACGGGAAACATGATGATTTGGCGATCGCTCGATTAGCATAGTACTTTGCTCGTCATTGCATTTTTTAGCACTTATGACGAATTGCTGCCGTGAGCCCCACTAAAGATGACAAGGAGGGAGATGCTGAATACTAACTCTGTTCTAAAATATGAGAGATTTTGGGTGGGTGTAACACGTTTTATTGTTATGAATCTGAACACTATGTCTAGATTTATAGTGCTAGAATATGTCACATCCACTTAAAATCTCTTATATTTTAGGATGAAGAGAGTACATATAGTGGAGATCAGAATTTTTCTTGTTTATTATTGTTATAGATGCAGAGGATCACCTGAAAGAACCCTGCAGCCGAATGATGCTCAAACCTGATGATGATCTCGTATTCACATCGAGCATCGGCAACAGGGCACAACGCATATGGATTGCTAGGAGAATTCAGTTTAGCGCACTGCTGCGCCTGAATCGAACACGTTGCATATGGGATCACTCCATAAGATACTGACAGAACAATGTAAATAACATTTCGCGAAAACAATCAAGCGCGAGACTGAAGCTGGAAGGAATTCAGGGGAGGCCCTGCACAAGCAGGAGTGGAGCATGGTTTAATTCAATTCTATAAAACACGCAAACTCTACCAATCCTCGACATATACCAAGAACTTTCGCTTTATTCCTCAAACTAGTAGAAGCACAGCTCAGAATAAAGTGAAAGTTCACGGGTCACTGTTCACCGGTCACTGCTCCAAAACCAGCACCCAGTTTACACAGCTTGGCATGACTAGAAACTGAAAGGCAAAGCCCATGAAAAAACGAGGATAATTTCCTGGCATCGGAACACATCCGGCATCATTCTGTTTGTAAGTTTGTAACAGGCCTGTAGAGTACTTGTTAGCTGTTACATGTTTGGATCAACCAAAATGAAGCACCCTCTTTTGCTTCAGTTACCTTTGTACAATTAGCTACCGGCAGAAGCAAATAAGACAGCGTTACACATGATCCAAATTTCAATCAGCTTAGTTAGAAAGATCAGAGAATGCTGCACAGTTTAGACATGACGGTCGATGGCTACTAATGGTAAAAGGGTTCAACACCAAGATTGCTACATTACCCGGACTCGCTTGCTGTTTGAATTCACAGCATCTCTCACCCCTTTAACTGTCACTGCATATGGTGCTGATGCTACTGGTAGTGAAGGGGACTTGTCCAGGAATCCATACCGCTCATTGCCGTTCCAATACAGAATTAGTCGATTGGTGCATGAGTGGGACCAACTGTCACCTGCATAGCAGCATTTTCATTATTACCATTCCTTACAAACGACGGTCCAATACAAGAAATAGTCGGCAAGTAACATGCTGCACAAAAGGAACATATCAAGGTTGTACGTGCATCTTATATATTTTTGTAGTCATTTTATTTACATTCCAGCGGGGGAATCTGTTTCGATTTTGTGACAAAATAAAAATGGCATGAAATTAGTAACATAATATTAATTCACCTGCATTATCATGGTTTTCAAAGTGAACTACAACCAGAAGGACCCCACAGCTTTGCTTGCTACAAGCAATAACTGGAATTGATATCCCAGGATAATAATTCATTAACTCTAAATAACAGAGTATCCCAAAACATGCCATCTACCCCATAAATTAAACTATCTTAGGTATAGTAGCCAAAACTTAGTAAGTGTTACAAACCAAGGTATAGCAGCCAAGCATAGTTTTACTCTCTTAGTAAGTATTACAAACCACATAACAGGGTAAGCATCCATCAGAGGCATAGCTATTAAGACCGGACCGGTGATCGAACCGCTAAGTGCTCGGTTCATTGGTTTATTGGTCTAACCGGTTAGACCACCGGTTTGATCCGGGTTAAATAGATAAATGACGCATCATAAAGACCAACAAATGTCATAGACCAACGGTGGAGTATTTGGGTGTTGCACGCGTGATCACGGGTTCGATTCCCAGCCTTCACTCTTTTTACCTCAATTTTCTCTTATATTATATACTCGAGCAATGGCTGACAAGCCCACGTGGGCAATCACCGGCTTATAACCGGCCAAAATCTAGAGAACTGGCCAGTTTACCAAAAAACCGCCCGGTTTGACCGGGTATTTACCAGTCCGATTGCGCAACGGTCTTTTAATCGAACCTGACTGCTAAGAGCGCTGGTTCCGGTTTATTCCGGTCGGACCGCCGGTCTGGTCCGGTTCTAATAACTATGATCAGAGGAAGATCACACACGGACAATTTGAGGTAAACCCATTAGTTGAAAGAGTAGGCTTGGCAGAGAGGAGACAGAAATCATTAGGAGCAACTGAATGTCTGGATATATGTGAGACAGAGAGACTTGGAGATTTGTTTATTCGATGCTAAATTCTTCTTAAACTGTCCGATAGCGTTTATAGGGCAGGTCCCCACCCATAACAACCTTAAATTAGTAGACAGTTACCAAATTTCCAACACAAATTGTACAGAGCTAGGTTACAATTGATTCAAAAGTAGAAATGTATTTGATAACTCTCGATTCTATTTCAATAATAAAATAGTATATTGTATACTGTATAGGTGATATCACATAGTCATAATTTGGGCTCTGCCATGATCAATGACATAGATATTTTGCTTTCTCTTGATTAAGGTGGTGATTTCCAGTCCTTGAGAGTTGAGAGTGAACATAGTGGCTCTTTTTCACCATCTCTTAATAATATAATGAGCAAATATCATCATAGGTAGATGGTAATTGTATTTCTAATACTCACCTAAAAAGGTCTGTAATATAAATTCCTAGTACTTATCTCTAATGCAACTCGATATAATTACTCCCTAATGAAGGCCAACCTAGCCACAGCCCATCAAATCAAAGCCCACAGCAGTAAGAACATCAAGTCAGGTTCTTTAATTTTAGTCACTAGTGATTATTAGGGAACAAAGAGAAAATGTAGGCATTTGATGGTGATTGCGAACTAAAAAGAGGGGTTATAATTTATGAATAGAAACTGACCTAGAGCAAGAGTTAACTGAAATGATCCTTCTGTGAATTTAGTAGTAACTTGGTTCAACAAGACAACCTGCTCAAACAAAATAAGATGATAAGTATGTTAACCTCATTGCGCAGGGTATCTCTACCTAAGGCAAAACCGTAATTAAGTCATTCCTGATTTATAGAGGAATGAGCAAAATGGGATAAAGAAATATGAATGGGGAGGATAGTGGAAGAAAGGATAGCATAAAGTAATTGTGTGGTTAGCAAATTATGAAATGGCCATGAGGGTAACTATTGTGGTTCCGAGCAGACCATGCCCCTAGTGGTCAATAGTTTATCTTCACCCATAAAGGCATTTGTTCCTTCTAATCTTTGATCTCCACTGATAAAATCCCATTTGAATCTCAATACAATGAAGAACAAGTCTTAGCACATTCCATTAACAAAATAAAATCGTGTTTGCTGCTGCTGAACAGAACTAATTTGATTTGTCTGAAGTTGAAATGTTACGTGCTTATAAAGCTACCTCAAATCTCGCTTTAGCAACTAGAATATCACTCTGGTTGAGTCTAGTAATCAATCAAGAAAAATGAAACCTAGTGTTTTTGTAGAAGTATAATGGCTTTGTGTTACCATATGAGTATATCCAAAATTACATCAATCAAGACGGATGACATAATGACAGCACATATATTGCAGATGTTGAATGAATATGCACAGATCTCCATTTTACGAAACTAACACCAACAGTGGTAGCTCCTGCTTCACTTGATCTAATAGGGTAGGCAGCTTACCGCCAAGTTATATGCCTTTGAAAGTTTCATCAACTTCAATGATAATCCACTAAGCACTCTAGTCCTTAGTGCCATATCATCAAAATCTTGCCGAAAGTGGAAAGTAACGCTGTCAATAATAACTATTCTTACCTGTCAAGGAGGAAGAAAAAATTATTGGCTTCAATTTCATAAATTGTGGTAGATTGTAAAAGCAATGGCATGGCATGAAACTACTGTGGGACAAAATTGCGTTAATGCAAAACATATTTATTTTGAAGAAATTAAGGTACAAACTTAAGGTGGTTATAAACTAATAATTCAAGACTAAATTGTTCAAGAAAATTACATCTTTATGCTCCCCAAGAAACTTTTCCAGATAGTTTATGACTGCAATTTGTTCAGTATAGCTGCATATTCGAAAGTAGTAGATGTCAGCCAGGAAACTCTCAGGCTTCAGTTTTTCTTGTCCGGCTGGAGCCTTGTCATGGCAGTGTGGAAAGTACTCCAGTATATCACTGATGCACCCTTCAGCAATTTGGTAGACACGTTCAACCATGAAACTTCCCTCTGTATCTGTTAAAATAAGCAGATACTCTTAAGACTTTATTGCTAAGACAAAAGATGATAAGTGCCTTAGTGTGAAACTATGTACCTATATAAACAGCTTTCCCACCAAGTCCACCATACTCCACTGGAATTTGAACATTGATTGCTAGTTGAATCCTGACAAAAGTTAGGTCTTTAGTAGTGAAATCTTCATCTGAATTTGCATTTAATATTGTGTACAACATACCCCAGTTGAGTTTTACCGACTCCTGGGACACCACCTGAATCAAACTAGATGTGTTGATTAGGCCAATCACTTCAGATTAAAAAAAGATGGGCATAACAATCAATGTCTACAAGAAAATAGGGGAAAACCAAAGGCTTATCAGATATTCAGTATCCACATAGGACATGGATCGTTATAATCAATACAATTCGTCGGAGGAATGGAAAATTAATGGCTTTATCAGGAGATAGTGAATCTCATCCCTTTGTTAGTAGAGACGTTAAAAGTAACTCACCAATCTCAGTAACCTCTTTACAGTGAATCCCTCCACCAAGGATGTTGTTGAGGTCAGCAGATCCAGTATTGATGTGCCTCCGTGATTGCTCATCAGATAGCATATCCCATGCATTTTGCACACCTGTAAATATCCGCACGAGTCAAAAGCAGTACAAATTATGGTCCATTGTTATGTCAAGGATCTCCGTGACATCAAACAAATTAGGACCTCACAGAATCAAACATGGGTTATTGATGATTGGGAAACAATAAAATGTTCCCACGGAGGCAAAGTATATGTGCACACCATATCGTCCTAGGGCATCATTTTACCTTACACAATAAGAAAGCATGGCACAGGGAAACCAAAGCACAGATAAATCTACCAAGAAAATTGCATCGGAGCGGACCGAGAGTAATTGTACCTTTGAGAACACTGCTGGTGCTAGGCCCATCTGCTCCCTTGGACTTGTTGGCGCCCACGGCAACCTTGAGGATTTCTTCAGCCTCATGTACCTCAATGCTCAAATCTGCAAAAACAACATGCCAAGAACAGTGGCTCATCCTCCAATAGACACACACGCACACGAGATGACCAAGCAATGTCTTAATAAGAGACATAAATATCACAGCTACGCGGCACGAGACTAGGAGCAAAGACACTGGTACCAATTCGAGCAAAAAAAGGGGGATCATCCATCGGAGCACGAACGCACTAGCTAATCATCCCTAAACCCTAACCCCCCGCAGGTGGGGGGTGATGGGTGGGGGGGCGTACCTCGGGCGAGGCGGGGAGGGGAGGCGGCGGAGAGCGCGGCGAGGGAGGAGTAGCCGGCGGCGAGGAGGTTGGCGCGGTGGGAGGTGGCGATGGGGAGGTCGGCGATCTCCATCGCCGGGATTGGGCGCCGAACTTGGGAGGTTGAGGATGGATGCTCCGCGCGGGCGGCGACTGGCGATGGTTTTTTTTTTTGAGAGAATGGCGAATCAGGACCGTTGGATAAGGGCAGAGTGATGAGGCACGTTGGATTTGTCCAATGATGATGATGAGCAAGGCTGTGTTCTTTTTGGAGTGGTCCCTCCCCTCCATTCGGAAAATGGAGCGATAGGTTAACACGTGATTAATTAAGTATTTACTATAAAAAATTTTAAAAATAGATTAATATGATTTTTTAAAGCAACTTTTCTATATAAACTATTTGCAAAACGTGTACTGTTTAGTAGTTTGAAAAACGTGCACATGGAAAACGAGGGGTGGGTTGGAACCCATGGAAAAGAACACAGTCTAAGATGTGTTGTGAATTATAGGGTAGATAGATAGATTGGTGAATTAAAGCAAGGTTAATAATACAGCCAACATGTTGGCTATAAAGTTCTTTGTAGTCTTCTCTTAGCTTACTCATATACTCCCTCCATTCCAAATTAATCTACATATAGTTTTTTTAGGTTATTTCTAAATGATCTATATATTTGTGTTCATTTATTAAGTCTATTCGTTATCTGTGCATTGGAGTAAATGGGCGTTGATGCATGCATCAATGCACACAAGTATTTATAACTCACATGCAATATCTTTATTTACTATTAGCTAGGGAATAGTGGGGATGGTGCATGCATCGAGTTTGTTACTAGATTAAATATAGTATGAGAGAGTCATTAGTTTTTTTTGGTCTTGGTGTCCCTATGAAATATGTAGATCAATTTAGAATGGAGGGAGTAATAGTTAGCTCTTTATAATTAATATAGGGCCCATTTATCTCTCTCACAGAGTTTCTTGGTTCTTGCGTTCAAGCCGGCTATAAGTTTACACACAGCTTATCCCCCTCTCCTCTCTTTTCTCCTCTACCTCAGCATTTAGCTAGCTTATAATATACTATTATAATTGCTCTTATAAGGTAGATAAAAAGCTAGCTTGGTGTTTTGCAAAATAAATAAACAAATAAAGAGCTAGGTTGGCGTGCGAGCTAGCCGGCCGGGTCGATCAGTGACGATATCCTTTTCCTTTGGGATACACACTACATGTAGATGTCTTTGGTTGATATCTCGTTCATTTCACATTGACTTTTGGTTTTAGCTAAATGCGTTTGTCCACTGACTCAATTATTTTCATGATATATGTTGCTAAGAACAGAGTTTATAGCCACAAGAGGAACTATAACATGGCTCCTTGTCTGTGCACATCCAAGAGAATGTAGAGGCCGTTTTTTCAATCTATTATGTAAAAAAAATATGGCTCCGGGATTCCGAGGGTCTTAGCTATTACTGTTGTCGAACAGCAACCACGTCACATCGAAGAACGTGGATATTGGTTAGGTGTATTTGGACAGTAAAGTAGTATATTAACTGGTAAAAAATTTTGGATCCCCCATTATATGGCCCTAGGGGGCTATTTATAATGCTAGTATAGGCTCATACCTCTAGGGTTAGGTTGTTATATGGGAATTTACATGGTTATCTTTATTATAGGGATATTACAGTGGGTATACATTGTCTTTTGTACCCATGGACCCTAGGGCGGCCTTTCTGGGCCGGCCCATTAGGTGGCGAAGGGCCTCCACGGTCCGCCAGGCCTCCCTGGCCCTCAGCCGAAGGCATTCTCTACTTAGGGCGACGGCTTCATGCTTTGCTTGAAGGCCTTCGCCCTTGGTAAGCTTTCGGTCGATCATCGAGCTTGGTGGTGAACCCGTTGACCTTCGTCGCTAGGCTTCGCCCGCGGCCCCATGACAAACCCCTTAGTCTTCACCCTTCTGGCTTCGCCCAAGGTCTTCGCCTGATGGACTTAGACGATTCTTGATAGCCCAGGTGGTTTCAGCGGGTTGGCCGAAGGTCCTCATGACATACCTTCAACAAGCCCCTCACGGGCAAGGGTGAGTAGGGAGCTTTGGCCAAGACCATGGACCATATAAGGTATGGCATGAGGCGCCCCCTTTCGGCCAATGTTCCTGCCGAAACTTACTTTTCACCTGCAAAAATTTAGCACTTGTAATCTGCCCCTTTCGCTTTGGGCGAAATATTTTTCTCTCTTTTTTTTTGTTTTGAACAGTTTTGGGCCATGGGTATCGTGTATATTCGGCCTTGTACTGTGCGGCCCGATCCGACAGGAATTTACTGTTTCGTATACCCCTGGTGACACTTGGTGAGTTTTGATTGGTTGTTAGTCGAACCGTCGTTTTGCCGGGCTATATATTCCCCCGGGTCACTTTCACTTTTTCACCGCTCGTTAGTTTTCACTGTGACTGTTTCCTTAGATTTCCTAAGCTATTACGCCCTTGTGCTTTTCGCTCTCGTAGCAGTCTCTTTCGCCACACTGAGCTTTCGCCTCTTTCCCTTCTTCTCAGCCTCTCGCCTTTCGCCACGGCTGTCGTGGCGCCTCGCAAACCTGCTCGTGCTAGGGCAACAGGCGAAGACCCTAGGAGCATCACCGACAACTGAACTTGCTACTTGGGCAAGTCATTGGTCGAAGATGCCGACTTGGCCGGGGATGGTCCTTGCCGGGGTAACTACTGAAGGTCAAGCTTCTTGGCCCGTTGATGACGAGGTCCAGAGACCAGGCGATGGGCGTACTGTGGTCTTCGCCGCTTTCTTCGACGCGGGTCTCCGACTACTGTGCGACGACTTCTTGGCCTCTGTTTTGGAGATCTATGAGGCGAGGCTGCCGCAATTAAGTCCTTCGGCCATTGCAAAGCTTTCCGTCTTCACGTGGATGTGCCGAACAAGCGGCTTCGCCCCCTCCGCAGAGCTTTTCGCTTTGCTTTTTACTGCCAGCGCTTCGACGAAGGACGTACACACGCCTGCCGGACCAAAGAAATCGGTGTTCGGCAGCGTGAATTTCAACCTCCGACCGGAGCGTTCGGATTCTTGGCCGGTTCCTGCATCCATGCCAAAATAGGATCAGTGTTGGATGCAGAAATGGGGCTCTACATCGACAACCCTTATACCGCCAAGTACTCCGACAACGCGGGCCGGCTCCGCTTTCGCTGTCTTCCCATCTCCATCAACTCCAAGCCGAGCATGGAGATCACTGGTCTCCTGGAGTCAAGACTCATCCTCCTTCGCAACGTCGTGTGCCGTCTCAGCACTCACGACTGTTGTGAGGAGTATTGCATGCTCCAGGTTTCTCCCCTTGCTCGAGACTGGGGGATCACCTTGAAGGAAGACGAAAAGCAGCATGGTCTCCCATGACTCGTTATCCACGATGGGGCAAACTGTGAGCTTTTCGCCACTAGCTTCGACTCTCCCCCTTCGTCAAACTGCGATCTCAAGTTTTCTTCTCGGTTTTGCAGTGCTTTCGCTGGAGGAGGCGGAGGCCGGTGCCAATAAGATAATTGGGATGGACGAGATGGAGGCTTTTTTGCGGCATTGAAGAAGACGAGATCATGGTGGGTAAGCTCGGGAAAGAACTCCGCGTGCCAGACACCGAGCTCCGTGTTGCGCACACTCTAGAGGACATGTCGAGCCGGGGAACACCCTTGCCAACTCAACAACATCCACCTCTTTAGCGCTGGCGACGACCGGCTAGCTACGCTGGACATGACCGAAGAGTCGTGCCTCATGTGCGTGCTCGACCTGCAGCTGGAGAAGATGGTCCTATTTGGCAAGCTTGACCTCGCGGTGCCATCTTTTTTTGTCTAGGAACAAGTTCTTCGGCGGCAGACGGTGGAGGATTAAGGAGAGGGAGGCACGATGGATGGGGACGAAGGAGGTCATCGGCGAGGGAGGAGCCTGGGGCTGACCAACAGGGAGGCAACAGTGGAGAGACGGGGATGGGGACAGAGATGACGGAAATCATGGAGTGGCACAATTCTAATTTAGAAGATTGCAGTGGCATCTACCCAGTTTCACTAATGAGGACATATCCAGTGAAAACGAGTTAAGTGTTGGAAACTCGTGAAAATCATACCTAAAAGTTTCGTAATTCATGAGAAAAATACTAGAGATAGCTGTAGATATGAAATACATTCTCACCAAATCTCAACTCAAAATTCAACTTCGTTTAAAAGAAACAAAAAAAGATTAATTTCGGGTGAATAGTGTCATGTTATTATTTACCTGAAATTTGTCAATGAAGTTGAGTTTAAACTTGAGATTTAGTGAGAATGTATTTCATATCTACACCTATCTATAGTATTTTTTTCATGAATTTACAAAATTTTTATATATGATTTTCACGAGTTTCCAACACTTAGCTTGTTTTCACCGGATATGTCCCCTTCACTAATAGTAATAATATTTTTTCAATATGGTATATTTGCAAAGACATGGATCAAATTAACCCAATTTTCCCCCGCACTCCTTCGTCTTGGTTTTTCCCGCCCACACGCACACCTCTCGCCAGGTAAAAAAAGAGCACGAAGGACCCCTTTTGAATGGAGGATTGAGTAGATAAAAAGGGCTACTTCGAAACTCTGGATTTTATATATATATATATATATATATATATATATATATATATATATATATACACGATTTTAATAGAAATTTAAATGCTAACTAGAGGATTATAAAACACAGAAAAATACAAAAATAATTCTTTGACTGGACCGCAGGAAAAACATATGCTAGATGAGATAGATAGACTCATAGGAAATTTTCTAGATCTCATATTAAAAATCCTTCAAAACTTGTATAAATTAAGGCATTTCTTAGGAATTTCATAAGATTCAATAGTTTTGAACCCTTTATTCCAAAAGGCCATATAGAAAAAAAAATCTTATAAACTTACAATTCTATAAAATTCCTATGTTTTTGGTTCAAAACAAAATGGGACCTAATTTTTGGAGGATATTGGTACTTTCTAAATACTGCATATTTTAGTTCACATGAAAGAAAACAAAATGTTAGTGTAAACATGTGTACGGCTCGATTTCATAAGAAAATAAGCTAGGGATCAAACCTCTTGAAAACTATCCTTTTATTTGGTTTTTTTGCAAACTTTCCTTTTGTTTTTGATCCTATAGTACTACTGCCTACTAGGGTTGGCGCTAAAATAGGGATGAAAACACTAACATCCCTTCAGAAATAATTCCCCGTTGGTAGAGAATTGATCATATTTATTAATTTAAATATATAATGTCAATAACGATGCTAAAAGAGATTAAAAAAATATATATGTCAAGAATCGAAAATGATATAATTTATATGTAAACGATGCTCGGTCAGTTGGAAATTCATGTGACCATTTTCATCCCTAGGCCAAAAGGCAAACAATTGTTGGCGTGCATAAGTTAACAATAATATATAGATTTTATTTGAGATCATAATACTTTCTATATAGAAGAGGATTTGAAATCAAATAAACCTCTAAAGACTTTCCGTACAAAAAATCATAAAAACCTTCTGTAGAAATATTAAATGAGTTCAATGTAAACTACAAGTCACCAAGACTTCTTAGATAAACTTCCTAGTTTTTCTCTTCCCAATAATCAATTCTAAAAACCTGATACAATAAAACCCAAAACCTCTGCTAAAAATCCTACCAGAGCTAGCTTTCTAAAAACTACTCCCTCCATTCCAAATTGATCTACATATATATTTCATAGGTACACCAAAACCAAGAAAAGCAAATAACTCTCTCATCCTATATTTATTCTAGCAACAAACTCAATGCAGGCACCATTCCTACTATTTCCTAGCCAATAGCAAATCAAGATATTGCATGTGGGTTATAAATACTTGTGTGCATAGCTGCATGCATCAACGTACATTTACTCCAATGCATAAATAACGAATAGACTTAATAAATTAACACAAATATGTATATCATTTAGGAATAATTTCAGAAAAAACTATATGTAGATCAATTTGGAACGAAGGGAGAATTACATAATGGATATATGTAGATCAATTTGGAACGAAGGGAGAATTACATAATGGATGCCTTCAGAGCACCAATAAAAGCAAAACAGCACCATGAAGTTTTGAGTTTCCCGAGTAATAAGCCTTGTAACTCCATTAGGGATATGAAATTTCTACCGAAAGTAGAACCATTTGCTGTAAATTCTTTGTTTTGGGTATTGAACTGCTAGCGCGGAATGGATTTGTGAGAATAGCAGACAAAAAAACACAACTTGCTGTGTCCATCCAGACAACCGCCTTCCGACAATGCAATAGAAGTAGCAACACCATCAGAACTCAAAATTAGACTTGATAGATTTCACTATGATAATCATGATAAACCCTCATGCATCTATAGCTCCGACTGCTCCGAGCGAATAACCCTTCGAAGGTTTTCAGTGGTTAAGGGAGTCGGTTACCTGCAAGTCAGAACTACGTTTGTAAACTCTCAGAAAGAAACATCTGTAAGGTTTCATGAACAATAATAATGTAAATAGCATGCTTGCAGTATAAATGCATGACTGTGTTTTCTTGGACAAAACATATGTGCAGATTTTGCTGGAAGTGTTGTAACACCATTTTTACATTTTTTTATAAAACGGACGGGTTCAGGGGCACAATGTGATCTCCAATTCTCCATATATTCTTTTGAACTAAATGCCAGCATGCTGCAATGGAATTCAATAACCTACACCATAATTTGTAAACTTGAACAAAATCTTAAAACTCGAATACATGATTTGCATCAGACCAACCAGCCACTTGCATATAAACATGTGTAGTGTACAATCATCTGCAGAAGATCATACGATTAACGCGCCTAATAAATCTTCCAAACAGAAAGCTAGCGTGAGCACATTTCATTGACAGCTAAAGGCAATACTAGTTTTGCCAACCACCCAGGTAACACAACAGCAGCAGAAACGCATTATTGTGAAGTTACATTTACTGCTACCACAGATCTTTGGGAGAAAAAAAAAGGCAACAGTTCTTTACACATAATGTAAAATTGTTCACGACCTATTAATTTGGAAAAGCAGATGAAGCACACAGAAATATGTATCAAGAAAGTTACAAATAAGTGGGCCAACACCAGCAAAAATGAATTTTGGAGAAGCCACATTTACTACCATTGCATATATTTGAGAAAGATAGAAAACAACGGTTCTTTTAGAATTGATCGCAAGTTATTAATATGGAAAATTGGATTAATCACACAGAAATATGTATTGAAGAGAAGTTACAAGCCAGCAGGGGGGCAAGTACTTTGGTTGGTTCTAGTTGTTGCTGGAGATAACTGAACCCAAACAAATTCTTCCATGTAGCTGACATTTTGATCACAGGACCCTTTACATGTGTAAACAATTATTGTTGCCCAATCAAGTGAGTCTGGTTCATTTTCAACATGGAAGTAATGGAGCAGTTGTGGCATTATCTGCATACAAAAGGAAATAGCGATGAAACCATGGAAGGATGTAACCAACAACACAAACTGTATGAGAGTATGCCAATCAGTGAAATCTATTTAAAACAGTCCATTCGGCTACAAGGTTGCCTTTCCTAAGACTTAATATGGTCAGTAATTAGCTGAAACACGACCACGCTAGAATGTCCACATGGTATAGAAACGATGTTGTAACTTGCTGATATAATTGCATTATGGTAGTGTTCACAATTATGTGATTAATTCATTTACTAGTGGCATGTACGATGTGCTTAAATCACAGTATATGTTAAGAGCTCCTTAGCGTTATCTTATGTAAATTGATTTCAAACATACATGCATACAGCTAAATACCTGATAACATTTGTAATTGAAACACGCATCAGTAAATAACAGAAATTTGCCAGTTTGCAATGGAGAGGCCTCTGCAAATCAGCAACTTAACAATACCAATGAGAATATGCGATAAATGGTGGGACAATGATATCATAGGTTTGCAAATTCAATATTCTCTTGGTGGCTAAAAGTAAACTGTAATCTTAACTCTATGAATTACATAGAAGATAACACTGTTCTAACCAAAAGTTGTGAATACCATTTACTCTGGTTACTATAGAGACCAGACCACACAAGACTAGGTTCGCAAGGTTTGCTGTGACCCATCAAATATGACCTAACCCTGCAGCTGGATACAGGTTGGGTGGCTAGGAGCAACAAGCTAACAGAAGTATTTCAGAGTATGCAGTTTTCATGACAGGATGGATGCAAATGCTCTTCCTAAAATGTAGGTCCATAAAAACATGCATCTACAAGTCTTTTCTGTTTTTTTAGAGAGAGAAGTCTTTTATATTTTTTCCTGTTGGTCAACTAGTAAAATCAATAGCCTAAGATATGAAACCTGTCCAACCTGAAATTCATAGCAAAGTGGACCATTACAGTATATACAAGATGGCTTAGCTGCATTGGTTAGAGACCCAGAATATACTACCCAAAGTGGTTTTGCAGTTGATTCCCTGCAGTATCTGCATAACGAAGTAATCAAAATTATGCTTAAGATAAGTTGTCTGCGAAGTACAGACATGCAAGAGAGGTGGGGAACTGAATATGATTATTTCAAGTTTACCATATGCTACTGATGGCACATTTCACTGCATAAAGACACAAACTACAACTGGAGTTACAAATGTGCTGAAGTGCAAACATGCTAGGTTCCAGGCTTCCAGCTAATTGGTTATTAAACACAGAAGTTTCCCACAGTACAATAAAACATCGCTAGTTGATTTTGTTTTCCAAGTTGATATACCTTCCCGTCAACTGACCTCCCAAACCACATTAAACGGTCCCAGTGGAACTGACAACTTAAGCCTTTAAAATTTCAAGAAACATAATGCTGAACTCAGAAACCCATATAGTATTGAAGCCCATGCAACCACAAAATTAAACAAAGCATCTATTCAACTTTAAAAGGTAAATGAAGTTCCAATAAGAGTTGTGGCAAGGCACTACCGCACTAGGACTTTGCTGTAGTTTCTTAATTCAGAATTGAAAACACTGACAAAGTAAAGACACTATTCCAAAAAGTGATAACAATTAACAACCCAAAGTAAGGCATCCAAAATCACCTCAAAACTTGATCCTGTTCTCTTGAGATGCGTTCTAGAAAAGATGCCCAGCATCTATTGTCATCATCAACCTGCAACACAAAAAAAAAAAGTAATAAATAACACTCTAGAAGTGCATTAGCAAACATATGGCAAAGCATAACAGGAAAACAAAAACCTCAAACTGATCCATCAATGATGCCGTCATGTCATCCTCTTCACTTTGGCCTTGTTCCATCAACAATTCTGATCTATTCTCACAACTAGCAAAACAAGAAACCTTTTCGGTTTCATCAACCACCATGTATTCAGGCCATATATTGCCAGCAAATACTGCAAATAGTTAGAACAACAAATTAGATGGAGAAATGTTTATTTTATGAAACATGGAGGAACAATTAAGAGATAAATGGGCAATTACCTTTTCCTGCATCTGGCATAATAGCAGAAGCATTATGTGAGCCAGATATTTGATGGCACTCATTCTTGTGCTTTGCACGCCAATGCAATTCCTGAGGAAGGATATTACCGAGTGATTAATCCAAAACAGTGATATCTGAAAACTCTAGCAGCGCAAACAAACTGATTAAACTGAAAATACAATATAATTGCCTGGTTAGTTGATACCTGATGCTTCTTTGAACAGTAACTGGATTTCCTACAACGACTACAAACTTTTTCCCCTTTCCATGTGCCACACCAACAACAAAACCAAGTTTGGGATCCTAATAGAAACATTTGAAGACAAAAAGCATAAGTTTGTGTTCATGATTTATACACAGCATGCATAATGGATTATTTAAGCAATATATCATATCAAAGCAAAGTGTTTCCTGGACGTAAAGCTGTCCATAAAATTATCAAAAGCATAGTGTTTTCAAGAGGAAATGTGAGAATAAAAAGTGCATTTTCTACACAACTTTAAAAGATTGTTTCAACAAGCTTGTGAAAGTTTCACAAAATAGACGGTGATAATTCCTGGAATTCAGCTTATGATTAACGCACAAAATTCATCTGACCTTCCTTTATCGAACAACCATTTATGCAATAACAAATACTACCTCCATACATATATGTATGACGTTGGCTAGTATAAATTTGAACTAGTTTCCTCTAAAAATTTGAACTAGCCAACGTCATATAAAAAAAACTGGAGGGAGTAATATAGAACAGTGACAAGGGGTATTCTTGTGAGCATGTCCCAAAATTGCCATACAGAGGACACCACACTGCAAGCACCAAACAAGCAGAAAGTATATCAAACAAGACTACCTTCTGCACATTGTGATCCGATGGATCCAATACAACCCTCAGGCTCTTTCAATGAATAATATGAATTAATTTGGGGAAGTTGGCACCGGAAAACTCTAACACTGCAACAGCTCACCAGAAGAGGTTAACAGAATATACCCAAAAAGAATTGGGTGAGAACACTGTGTAGAAGAACAACAAAAATATTATGCCAGCTTCACCTTCTTCTAGGATTACCTGCCCTATCCTTCCCCTGCTCATGCTGATCTAGTAGTAAGCATGCCATGGATGGGCACATGAACACAAATAATGTGCGGTGATAGGCTGTCTCCTTGCACTGAATTGGTGCATAAACCTGCATATAAATGATTGTTAACAAATTGATGGCTTATATGCATAAACCTGCATATAAACCTGCAGTTTGTCATATAAATGAAAGACAACCTGGAGAACAAAACGTAGTGGTTCGCCACAGAAGTCACAGCACCTGGACTTGCCAGATGGCAAATTAACAGGATCAAGCCAGGCCTGAAGAAAGCAATAGATTTTTCACTTAAGAAAGTTCAAAATGGCGTTCTAAGAACACATATAACGCAGACTGTACCGTTGTACGTACCGGAACACCGCCAGCTTTATTGGGGAAGTGTTGAGGGAGAAGAAGATGCCAGTCCTCTGGTCCCTCTGGCTCCTCTATGAACCCTAAGGTTACTTGAGGATCCATGTCCTCATCATCCTCGTCATCTACGTAGTCATTCTTGAATACAGCGACAAGGTTTGTTTCCTTATTGGGGTTGATCTGAAGGCTCTGAAGCTTGTCAGTGTCAGGTTCCATATTTCACAGCAATTGCCTGCAAGGAAATGGATGCAGGAGGGGATGAGTGTCACCAATCCAGCTGAATAGAAAAGGCAAAACATTTCGCTCCAACAGGTGCAAAAGGGTGCGAACACAGAGCATGAGGGTTTAGTTCAGCAACCAAAAAAAAGAAGGGAAATTAGGATATGAGCATTTCATGTTGGAGTGAGGTATAATTCTTCCTAACTATCTTTACTATTTCCTCCTTTTCACAATGTAAGTCATTCTATCTATCTAGATTCATTAACATCAATATGAATGTGGGAAATGCTAAAATGACTTACATTGTGAAACGGAGGGAGTAATTATTAAAGTGAAGTCGGAAGTTCAGATTTCAGCATTTTACATACAGCATGCATCCGTATCAATCAATCAAACAATATATCTAATGCTGGCCGTGATGGGCAGTATTGATTAGACCACGTGTCACACTGTCACCTCTCACTTTTCCGCGTTCAACTTTGACCGTCCATCTTATTTAAACATTTTTTGAAAAAATTTTAAAAATATAAGTCACAAGTAAAAACATCCTTCGGAAATAGATTAGATAATATTTGGTAGATGACAAATATTAAAAAGAAATAATATTTCATTGAAAAAAGGGAAGCTTATATGATTTTGGACTGATGAGATGGCGCTGACATCAGCGATGACATCATCGCCGGCGACGACTTCGAAGGGCGGTGCTCCGGTGAGAGGCGACAGCATCGGGAGAGAGAGAGAGAGAGAGGAGGCGACGGCGAACTCACCAATGGCGGCGGAGACGAGAAACGGCGACGGGAAACGGCCGGCGCGAGGTACTGTCCACGGTGGAACGACTTTCCGGCGACGAGCGGCGACAACGGAGGGGTGGCCGGGCTTCGTCTTGATGCTGCAATGCCGAAGGAGGAAACAGTGACGACCAGTGAAGACGACAACGGCGGCGCGACGGCGCACAGCGGCTGGAGATCAAAACACATTGGCAACCCACTGGTTCACGGCGAGGACGGCTTCCGGCGATCTTCGGCGAATGAAACGTGGAGGCCGGTCTTCCTCTCTTTGCTGCGGTCCTGTTGGTGGCGACAGCGCTGACAGAAGATGGCGGAGCCGACGGCTACAGCTGGCTGGAGCGGCGGCCGGAGGTGGAGAGAGAAGGCGGCTACGGGGAGAGGCGGCTAGGGCATGGGAGCTCGAGCTACGGGTTGGAAACGAGAGAGGAGGGCTTGGGAAGAGGGAGAGATCGGCTCGGGAACGGATGGATTCGGTGAAGGAAAATTAGGCCGAAATCCGCGGGATTGAGCTTAGATTTGATGGGCTTTATTGGGAAACGTAGAGGAGATCAAGGGAAATCCGTTCCCGGAGGCCGGATTTGGTGGGAAGGTGGCGGCGGCACAGTGCACGGGCACGGGAGCTCGGGTCCTGGCTGGAGGTTGAAGATGAACTAGAGGTGGCCAAACGGGCGGCACGGCCCGGCCCGGCACGGGCATGGTTCCGGCACGGCCCGTTTCGGCACGGCCCGTTAGGCACGGCTGATGAAACGGGCCGTGCCGTGCCGACCCACGTGCCGAGCCGCCGGCCCAAGCACGGCCCGTGGATGGCCGGGCCGTGCCCGTGCCGGCACGGCACGCCCGCGGCCCACGGGCCGTTCGGGCCACGGGCCGTGCACAGTGTTTTTTTTTTTTAAAAAAAAGGAAAGGAAATGTATAAGGAAAAAAAAATTAAAAATGGAAATAAAATGTTTAAAAAAAAGTAATGATTTACTAATGTTAAAAAATGAAAAAATGGTATTTAAAAAATGGAAATAAAAGTTTTTTAAAAAAGTAATGATTTGGTAATGTTAAAAAAAAAGAAAAAATGGTATTTTTTTGTTGTGTTGAAAAATTTAAAAATATAGATTGTGATTCATTATTTTGAAATAATTTAAAGGTAAATCCACACTTGCGAAAATATTGCAAAAGAATTTGTTAAAAATAGTAATGACCTTTATTAATGTTTATATCATTACAGGATACAATGATACATGCTGCCTCGTTAAAAACTTTGTCATGTAAAAACTCATAGGGGAAAATGAGAAAACCATGACAAAGAAAAGAGTACAGCTCAAAGGTCAGAACTTACTTCTAACAAAATTCTACTGGGGTTGGTCTGGATCCAGGTAGAGTTGCTCGAAGTGGGCGGCCAATTCTTGGTTGTCCGCAGTGTATTGGGCATGTTGTCGAGCAAGCTCCCAGTCTTTAACGCTTAGTAGCATTTCGACGTGGTCGCTGCGCAGAGTCGTCCTCCGGTCTTCGATGATTCGGCCGCATAGACTGAAGGCCGATTCGGAGGACACCGTCGACACGGGCACCGTCAACACATCCCGTGCTAGTTTTGAAAGCACAGGATATGTTATCTTGTGGTCATTCCACCACCCGAGGACGTTGAAATCTTGTGCTTCGTGGTGGATGGCGTCGCTGTCCAAATAACCGGACAACTCTTCGGCCACAACATGCGAAGAGGCGTCTCCACTTGTAGCCGACGAACTGCCACCACCTTGGATTGAACTTGAAGACGATCCACCCCAAATCCTACCCCACTGTATCTTCTTCTTACCTGTAGTGGGGATAGGAGGGGGTCTCCGCTGGCGAACTTCCTGAAACTTTACTTCATATCTTCCAAAAACCTCATATAATTTACGTCTAACCTCAGTATAAAAAGAACTATAATCTACACCTATAGTATCTCCAACAAGTGATAAAATAGCAGACAATCCCCTTAATTTACACCTAGGATCTAAAATAAAAGCAAGAGCATACAACATAGGTATATTTTTCCAATATTTCAAATATTTTTGTTTCATGTGAAAGACAGGTTCAGTTAGAACGTCATCATTTTCGTATTCTTTAAATAAAGTAGCAATTTCAAGAAGGTTGTGCAAAATTATATTAGCAGTTGGATAATAAACATGTGACAAAGTTAGAGTACAATCATAAAAAGTTTCTAGAAATTGGTAAAATTTTTGTACAATTGCCCAAACATGCTCGTTCAGTACTGAAGACCCGTCACTGTTTCTTGGGCCACCACGTGACTGAACAAAATCAGAAAGTAAACTACTATAAGGTAAAACAACTTTTAACATTAAATACGTTGCATTCCACCGATGCTCTGCATCGGTGGCAAACTTACGAGCTTCCACACCGGCCGCATTGCAAAACCTCTTCCATGCAGCAATCCGCGGGTTAGAAGCAGTTAACCACGCGATTGCTTGACGAACAGCATCGATGTGGTCACCTACCCTCTTCATGCCAGTCTTAACAATCAAATTAATTATATGACATGCACAACGCTGATGGAGTAGAAAAGATTGAGCATACACACAAAATAAAGGTTGCAATATTTCAATAGCTCTAGAATTAGCAGATGCATTATCTAGGGTGACAGCAAATATTTTATCAGCAAGATTAAATTCATTAATTACTTCCCTAATTCTTTCAGCTATGTTTTCTCCTGTATGTGAGACATCTATTAACCTAAGCCCTAAAACTCTCTTTTGTAATTGCCAATCATCATCAACAAAATGAACAACTACGCTAAGATAATCCTCTCTAGCTCTACTACTCCATATATCTGAAGTAACACAAACAGAGAAAGTACATGTACTAAACAGTTCCTTAAGTGCAGTTGCTTCCTTGTGATAAACATTCTCTAAATCTCTAGTTGATGTTTGCCTACTCACAGCTTTAAACCTAGGGTTATGAGATTGCTGAATGTAATGTTCAAAAGCAGGGGACTCCCCAAAGTTCAGGGGTAAATCTTGCCTGGCGATTAACCGGACAAGAGATTCCCGAGCAACCATGGGATCGTACTCCCAACTGCGTACCGTACCGTCTGGGTTTACCATAAGTTGCTGCTGCCGGAGTTGTATTCCTTGCTTCTTGGCACACGACTCCGCATGGCGCTTGAGGTGACCTGTACCACCAGAAGAACGAGCAGATAAAATTTGCCTACATATTCTACAACGGGCTTTCGATACCTCCCTTCCGTCGGGGCATGTTTCCTTTATCTCGTCGAAGCTTTGCCACACACCGGAGGTTCTCGATCTCTTCGAGCCGGTGTGTGTCGAAACACTTCCGCTCGCGGTTCCGGAAAATCCTTCCGAAGCTGTCTCCGCCTGAACCGGTACCTCCTCAACGACAGCCGTATGAACCGGTACCTCCTCCACAGATGGTGGAGTTGGAGCCGATCCGGAGGTACCGTCAAACCCCGACATGTAGTTGGGGTCGAAATCACCCAAGGTGAACGACGGCGACTGGTATGGAAAGTTCGGATCCATTCTGAAAATTTAAACCGACATAAACAAATTTTCGAATATTTATTGAATTCACAAACACAATACAAATAATACACAAATTTGAATATTACTTACATCTTTCCAACCGCGAGCTCTTCAAACCTCTGCGATCAAACTGTTGAACTACGAAACTAATTTTGATTTTTGACAAAATTTGAGCAAATTTTGTCAAAATAAAAAAAAATGCACACTTGAGAACAAAGAGAGCACTTAAAACACTTGAGAGCACAAGATGAGGAGTGTGGGATGAGGAGAAATGGCTGGGGTTCATGCCCTATTTATAGGGCGAAATTTGAGATTTTTTGGAATTTTTTCGAATTTTTTATGAATTTTTTAGCCTCCCAACGGTTATTTTCAAATTTGAACGGTCAAATAGCCGTTAGTGCCACGTGTCGCCTTCCCGTTGGACCGCCGCCCGCCCTGTCACGCGCCGCCGGCGCTTTCGGCCTGACGGGCCGCCCGGGCCGTGCCGTGCCGCGGGCCGTGCCGTGCCGGCCTGCTACAGGAGCCATGCCGTGCCGTGCCGGCCCGCGGGCTCGGCCAGCGGCCCAAGCACGGCACGGCTACACGGGCCGTGCCGGCACGGCCCGTTACTGTAGCAGGCCGTGCCGGGCCGTGCCTGCTACAGGAACGGCCGTGCCGCGGGCCGCCCGTTTGGCCCGGCCCATTTGGCCACCTCTAAGATGAACAGGCGCGGGTGAAGCAAACTAGACCTTTTTTTCTGGGCCAAAAAGGGCCCAAGCTGAGGAGAGGATTTTTATTACTTTTCCAATTAACCAATGAAATGAACTACTTCCAATGCTCACATAATTTCATGAAAAAAATCCTGAAAATACTTGGACACTTAAAGTATTTAACAAATTAAAATCAGATCATTTAATGATTAATTTATTATTTAAATATTATTGAAATGTTCTTTTATTATTAAAATTAGTAATTGAGCTCTGAAAAATCTGAAAAAAATTCCACAGAGTATAATTAATCATGGAGAGTTTAATAAAAATTAAATCCAACCATACTTTATATTTAGAAAATTTTATTTCCCACATTTAACTTCACTTGTAAATTAATAAATATTTAATATAAATTCTAAGAATAATTTATTAAATAATTTATAAATCCTGAAACGAAAATCATGATGTGACAATGGTTTCTGCCAGTGCTCCTAGCTCCCGCAATACCCCCGTGCCCCTGGCCATTGCACATCACTCGGTGGCTCGGTGCCATTGACGACATCGGCAAGATGGAGACAAATCGGTTTAAGAGTAGTAAAAAAAAATACTCCCTCCGTCCAATAATATAGTAACCTAGTACCGGACGAGACACTTCATAGTACAACGAATCTGGACAGTAAGCCTGTCCAGATTCGTTGTACTATGAAGTGTCATATCCGGTCCTAAGTTGCTATATTATGGGATGGAGGGAGTACTCGCTAACATATAGGTCCCATGGATGTTTCTTTAGCTCTTTCTATATAACAGCCACATATATGCTATGTTAGTACAGGTGGACCAAATCAGCGTGCCAAGCCATCGAAAACTGCCCTTAAAACCACAGAGGGAGTCATTTTGTGTTGTTTTAATAGTTAGAGGGGTCGATATACCCTAGTTTTAGGGTCGAGGGAGATGAATAAGATTGGGCCACTAGCTGAGGGACTCAGATTGGACTTTCTTTCCCCTATTTTCACAGTTGGTTTTGTGCTGGGCCCAAAATAAGGAGGGCCTCTCAGTCGCCCACAACCTCAGACCAAAAGGCTTGTGCACTCGTCTCTCATCTCGTCCTCCTCGTGCTCCTCCGCCAAAACCCCAATCCAATCGGGCTCCGACTCCGACTCCGACCACCGCGCCGGCATGGAGGCGGTCATCGCGGAGTGCCGCCCCAAGCCTCTCTTCACCACCGGGCCCTTCCTCTCCGCCGTCGGCGGCGGCGGCGGCGGCGTCGACCGCATCTCCGGGCTCCCCGACGACCTCCTCTTTGTCATCCTCTCCAAGCTCCCCGTCAGGGATGCCGTGGCGACGTCCGCCCTCTCCCCCCGCTGGAAGAGCCTCTGGTCCAGCGTCCCGCTCCGCCTCGACGACGCCGGCCTCCTCCACCGCCGCGACGGCACGCGCCTCGGCCGGGAAGGCGTCGCCGCCACCGTCTCCGCCGTCCTCGCCGCCCACCCAGGCCCCGTGCCCGCGGCCTCCGTTGGGTGCTGCCTCTCCTCCGACGACCAGGGCTACCAGCTGGGAGGCTGGCTCCGAGCCCTCGCCGCCAAGGGCGTTCGGCAACTGTGCCTGATGGGCGCGCCATGGTCGCCGCGCGCTGCTCTCCCCTCCGCTGTGTTCTCCTGCTCATCCCTGCGGCGCCTCTTCCTTGGTTCCGTGCAATGCAACTGGGACCTCATACCAGACCATGCCTGCTTCCCTGAGCTACGAGAGATCCAGATATGCAACGCCCTAATGAAGAGCCAGGATCTGTCCCTTGTTTTGGCTGTCTGCCCAGCGCTTGAGACAGTGGAGATTCTTGCGAGCCGTAACAAAATCCCCACCGTGCGAATGAGTAGCCATACTATCCGCAATACTTTGCTATGGAAGTCGGTGGCCAAGGAAGTGAACGTTTTGGACACCCCTTGCCTCAGCAGGGTTGTTTTGTGGCAGGATCTTCTGCTGCCCCACTCAAGATATAATTCTAAGGTCACAATCAGCCGTGCCACCAAAATGCGCATTTCCGGTTACCTGGACACCGGCATCAACACTTTGGTGATCAACGAAACCACAGTTAAGGTATTTGTCCCTTTGTTGGATATATATCTCTAATCATATCGAATCTGTGAAACTGTGTTAACGCGTTTTAATCGTTGAATTTGAAGGTAAACACAAATATAAGCTTCAAGACACTTATCCCCAGCGTGAAGGTTTTGGGTCTCTCTGTTCATTTCGGAGTACGAAAGGAGGCTTTGATGTCCATCAGCTTCCTTAGGTGTTTTCCAGAGGTTGAGACACTACATATAACTGTGAGATTTCTTTCCTTCTTTCATTCCCGACATATATATACATAAATGTGAGATTGCGAGATAGCTGTCTTTCTTCTTTCATTCCTGACATATGCATCATTTTACACACTCACTGCAGCCATTCTTTCATTCCCGACATATGCATCATTTTACACACTCACTGCAGCCATATGTTCCTTTGATAGCTGGAGGTGATCAATTTTTCTTCTTGTGCAGAGCAAAACGGACAAGGCTTCAGAAGCCGAACAATTCAGTTTCTGGGGAAAGGTTGATCCTGTTGAGTGTGTGACCTCTCATCTCAAGAAGTTAGTGTTCCATGGGATGCCATGGTGTCCTGGAAACCTTGAGTTTCTCAAATTCATCGTGGAAGGGGCATACTTGCTAGAGAAGGTGTTGATTGTTCTTCCTAAAGGAACTTACACTAGCATGCATAGCGTTATCACCAAACTCAAGTTAGCACCTTTGACCTCTGCAAGTTGGGCTAGTCACATCTGTAAAATGGAGGTTGTCCAATCCAGTCAAGGAACTTTGAGCTACCAAAGGGCATCTGATCATTCCGTCGATGATCCTTTAGATTATTCCCTGTAGGCTGTTCTATCTGTTTGTTGTGATTATAACATATTGTCGATATGGTTATCCTTTAGGTCCTTCATGTCTGTATGCCATTTTCATGTGTTTTGGCTTGTTATCTAGAGAAAAATGTATGGTTTGTTGGATATGCTTAGTACTATACTTGATGGGGTGCAAGTAATAGAATGCAGAGCATCCGATGTGTCAGTAGTTCCTCTCCATTACTTCTTGTGGCAAGACAGCAAGATACTCTACTCTCGATTTTGTTGCCTCTGCTTCTGTTTCTTGTGGATTAATTCATCATGCGTCATATTGGGCGGCATCGGTCTCTCATGTCTGAGAATTGTAGTAAGAGCAGGTACAATAGCAGGCTATAAGCCAGCTGCAAATATATTTTAAGGAGATAAATGAGGAGAGAGAAGAGCAGCGGGCTACAGATTTGTAGCCAGCTGTATTACAGACTCCAAGACGCAGTGTGTGTATGACAGGTGTGACCAGGTATTAATAGTGTAGTATGTAACTATTGTATGAATGAGACATTAGATTGGCTATAGATGAATTGGAGCTAGTAGTTGGCTATACTATTAAACTTGCGAGCAACAGATGTGGAGGAAGTCCCAACAAAATTTAGAGACAGCATAAAACAGCTGTAATTCCATTCGAGCCAATATATCTTTTTTCCTTCTTCTTCCAGATGTTAACTGGTTACTATAGAATTTGTTCAATTAGATGGAAAAGACAATCTGATTTAGCGAACAATAATGTTGTGGTCGTAATTAAGCACATCAGTTTTGGGCTACCAGAACTGGTGTCACTTGGTAAGGCCTTTCGAATATAAGTTATTTTTCTCTTTTTTTTTAATCAACTATTAAGTTGTTCTGGCAAAAATCTTTGTAAATTCTAAACAAGGCTTGGTTACCCAACATTTTGATATGTGCTTGGTCCATCTCCAATGCAGCTTGTACATGTTCGTGTGCGCTAACATAATTGTTAGAAACATATGTACGGTGTGATTGTGGTGTTATCTACCAAGATTTAAATAGACTTAAATGTTGGTGTCCATAAATGTTAAGGTTAGTGATTTTCGGTTAGTCCCGTCTTTTTCCAATGTGTGTTAAGACGGCGAACCTTTAAATACTTATTTAATAGAGTTCAAATTTCATCGCAGTAATAGTAATACTATCGTTTATCACAAATTATCCATACTATCTTTTGATTTGATTATAATTTCAATTTAGATGGGACCTATACCCCCACACATTTCAAGGAGACGATAAAGTACTTTTATCAAATGCTCGTGATGAAGATTAAGGACCTGTTTAGATTGGTGTCATTTTAAATCATTCTATTTTTTTAATGAATAAACATGTGGATGTAGTTTGTTATCAAACATTAGTTAGTTTGTTATCAAACATTAGTAATACATAGAGAATTTTGGCAATAACACATTTAGCCAATTCTAAAAAAAAACTTACTTTAGGCTGTGTTTAGATCCAAAGTTTGGATCCAAACTTCAGTCATTTTCCATCACATCAACCTGTCATACACACACAACTTTTTAGTCACATCATCTCCAATTTTAACCAAAATCCAAACTTTGCGCTGAACTAAACACAGCCTTAGCATTGCTAAATTTTGAAAATATTCATTTTGGCATTAATATGAAAATATTCACATACTTAATTTCGTTGTAAAGATGGATGAGGGTTAGAGCTAGAGGTTGATTAGTAAGTACTAGTAATACTCGTAGTAGTTTTGCGCTAAACCCAGTCCCTGCCCATTTCGCCCTCCCCGGCCGTCCCCGTCGATATCACCCGAGCCCTAACTCCCGACTCCTTCCTCGCCGCGCCGCCATGGCGCCCCCTCGGCCCGCTTCACCACAGAGCTTGCCGCCCGTGGCTGCCACCCGATCCCGCGGTCGCCCGTACGAGGGCTGGACTCTCAAGGAGCTGATTGGGGAGGTGCGCCGTCTACGACGAGCCGCCTCCTCGGCGCCGCCCCGGCCGGCGGGCGTCCTCGACCTCGACCAGGGGGACGCGCGCGCCTCGGACACGGTCGCCCCCTCGCCGCCCTCACCGTGTGAATCCCAGGAGCAACCCCACCATCTTGGCAAGGTTTTGAGTACTCATCCTCTCATCCACGTCCTTTTCCAAGCTCAAACCCCCCACCCTTTTTAATTTGTTCGTTCGTGCCCGCAGAGGCTGGAGGATGTGCTTATTTCCCTACGGGATGTCGCCTTCCAGTTCATCAAGATCGGTCGACAAGACGAGGCAAGCACTACAAAATTTTAACGCGTTGTCTCTCTCTCTCTCTCTCTCTCTCTCTCTCTCTTTAAAAAAAATCTATATATGCCATTCCAAACGATAGCATTTTGGGGGAAGAAAAGAACAGTGGACAGCTAATCATGTTTACAGTAGGAACAAACGACGAGACATTACAGGTTTTCAGATAGAAACAAAGATCCTGAAGTGCGTAGGATTCGTATCGTGACTAACAAGGACATAATACTATAATAGCCACTAGGCACAGAAAATGCTTCAACATGGTATGCAGTGTGCACCCTCGCTGACACCAGTATGTTGTTTGGTAGATGCTTTGCAAAATTGTATGCATCTCTTGTCAGGAATGATGCCATTGGCAGGACAATGATCTGTGAAACCACCAGAATAAAGCACATATATCTTGGCTTAGCGACACATATATAGCCATGCCCATTGTATGCATCATGAACGACTTACACATGGACTAGCTTGCTGGACGGTAGCTCTCAGCCAGACAACCACACTTTACAGATGCGCACATGCTTTTAACAAACAATTTTTCAGAGTTCAAGCTAGTTCAAACCATTAAACTTGGATGAGTCTAATATATCTTTTGGAGTTTGATACATGACATATTCTTTTTTTTATTGGTGTGACTATACACACAACAGACATTGCGAATCTAAAAGCACACCTATGGGTATTGATTTGAGTGCCTAGACACAGAGGTGCTTGAAACGCTGCCCTAAGAATGTTACTGAGAATGGCACCAACACTAACATTAGTTAGGCCATTAAGATTATCCCATGAACAAGACCTTCCTTGCTCATTGTAAAACTTCAGGTTATTTGAATGCTTATGCAGTTATGTGGTTATGTCTGATTGCAATTCTTTTCTAGGTGCGTAAAATCGTGAATGTAGCACACGATATTGTGGTTAACTTCTGCAATGCCATTAGAGCGCCCGAAGCGTTCAAATTAGTGGCTGCTGCTGAGGTATCTTTTTTTAAAATGGTCGCTCTTTTTTGAGCATTTGTTTCTATTTATTTGCTTATTTTCTTTGTCCTGTCTGTTATAATCTGTTGACAGAATGTGAAACCACATCTGTTGAAGATAGATCATGATGACAACCTTCTGTTTCTACAATTTAAGGCTGCACTGGAGGTACACGCTGTTGATGCAATATACAAGTAAAGAAGTAAATGTCACCTTTTTTCCCTGTAGAATCTAATCTGTATAATATGCAGAGGGAACAGCAGGTTCACAATGTTAACCATGAGATTGCTATATCTCTTGACAAGTACACCAATTGCCCACTGTCCGGGACGGAGATTGCAGAGTTAACTCAGCCATTGAGAAGGTACATCGTCAGCAAAATATACTTCAGTTATTAGCTCCTCTATCACAAAATAGTGCTGTTTTAGACAGAAAAAAGTCCAGAATCCAGATATCGGATTGGTTGCTAAAAATTCCAATGTGCAATATTGAGCATATAATTTCTGGTGTGAAATATTTGTAACACCTAATAAAAATATTATATTTTCAATGCAATATTTGATCGGACAAAATTTATAAAATTGGACCATGAATAAATAACATTTATTTGTGATTAGATATTTGGAGGGAGCACTCCCTAGCCTAATAACTGCAGCCTACTTCACTGATTATTTTTTTTCTTTGATTCATTATGACTTGTGGCCACATATTCGAGCGGCAGCACATCATGAACTACATGGGTTCCTCTCTCAAGGGGTGCCCGGTCATTGGTTAGTATAAGTGTTCATTTGTGAGGATAATTTTTCAAATGTGCCATCACAAGTATACAACTGGATTTGCACAATGTTACTTGAAATGCCATTGACTTCATCAGGGAATACTATTCTGAAATGGTTAATAGGAACCTTGCATGTAAAAACTTCTCCATCCATTTGTTAGCACTTAGCATAAGTCTACATTATTAGGAAGTATGATTTCACAATGTAAGTCAACAAAAGAATTCAAGAACATCATCGATTTATCATTGCAATATTTCTATATTCTATCTCTGATTTAATAATGTAAAAGAGGTTTGATATTTCTATTATACTATAATGGGGGTATATGGCCCAATGCTATTAGCTTTGTATTGGACTTTTAGGTCTTTCAATGTTGGGGGGATGGGAGCTACTGTAATATTTATCGTGAAACAAGGAGGGAGGGGGTAGTATAATGCCGCCATTATTTATATGAAAAAAAAGAAGAAGAGAGAACTTGGTATGTATACCATTCCATTGCTTTGCTTTATTTGGTATACAACAAAAACAACAGCTATGTGATGGTGGGAAGTGTCTAGCACTGTAGTGGGTCTTTTTATCTGGTTTGTTCAACAATGTGCTGCATGGTTGTGGCAAGTCCAACAAGTGGCATGTTGTGTGGGTGAGATCCATGGGTGATGGTGTGAGAGTGGTGGCAAGGTTGTTGCAAGCTATGTGCTACCTGATTCCATGGTGGTGACCTGGTGGGGCATATGACCGACATGTCCCTTATGGATAAGGTAAACAGCGGTAGTCTGACTAGTATGACTGGCAGTTCCTGTGGTTAATGGCTGAGTATCCATAGGGTATAAGACGTGTGTAATTCTTTTCAAGAAGTGACTAGCAAAGCCATTTTGGTTAATTTTGTGAGTGCAACCAGTGGTGCTGAGAGGGAGGGATAAATAACGCTGATAGTCCTTGACATATTTTTTTATTAAAAAAATATTCTAGTAAGGCCATTTTGAGAAATCTTGTGCAAAATCAGTTGCATAGTTGCATTTAGCCGATTTCTGATGTTATTTTGTAGTTAAGAAATTTAAATGATGGCATTTGAAAATCTCTCTTTTTTTAAAAAATAATGTTTTGTGTTGAGGTTGTATGAGGTTCTAAGTCTTCTTTAGGTTGTCCTGGTGCTGTGTCAAACGACCTGGTATTTGAGGATGCAGAGCTTAGGCACGACATAAAGTACTGCCACTGACAGAGAGTAAGCCAAATGGTTTCAATCCAGTTACACCAGGTGAATAGCTCGGTAACTGGATCTTATATGAAAAGAGACTATTGTTTTCTTTGTATGCAGGAATGTGCAAGAGGTTTGGTTTGGTTACAGGTCGAACAGGCTTCAATTCTGCAACGCGAGGCAAACGTCTGCTGTGTTTTGTTTCTCTGGGCACCTGTCATTTACCTTTGGCTTAAACAAGGCATTCAGCGGTTGATCGCTGTGCCATGCCCTTGTACATAGAAACAAATATTATTCTGTACATGGAATGGAAGAGTTCCAACACCTGCAAATGAATGAGCACTGTCAGCGTTGGGCAAGTGGTTCCGATTTCGGCTGGTGTGGATTTTAATCCGGGATTGAAGATGCGTGCATCGGCAGATATCATATGCCGGTCATGCTGTTGTTGCCGTAACAATTTTTTGTTTCTAATTGTTGCTACTTGCTACTCCCTCGGTTCCATAAGGTTCCATAATAAGTTCATTTTTTTATCTCCCCGTCTACCCCAAAATAAGTTCAAAGTTCATTTTTAGTAATTGATACATCTGAGTTTGTGAAATTAAGTAGGAGATAGATGTATTGTGATAAATAAAGTGAGAAATAATTGCATTGGGATTTAATAGAGTAGAAATTTTTTAATCCGTTTTATGTTATATTGGTATACGTGGAATGGATGAAAAATAAACTTATTTTGAGACGGACGATGGAGGTAATAATTCCAGCGATCGAGCTGGATGAAGCTGTCACAACTGTATCACCAAGGTTCGTTACGTTCACACAAGACAATAGGGAGAACGCCAGCCACCGGGCGCCCGATGCGGCGCGCATGCATCCGACGCTGCTGCCGTCGGGGTCCACCACGCCGCCTGCTGAGCCGCCCACGTCTCTCCCACACGCGCCCTCGTGCTACTATGTTTCCCACCACATATTCCGTTGCAACAAATCACCCACATATTTTGAAAACCCTCTACTAATCTATTTCTTTTTTTCCACTAAAAATGTTTCACATAGTGTACTCAATGTTTCACTATGTATAGATCTAATATTGCAGTGAATTGAAACATTCTTTTATAACAAATCACCCACATATTATGGAAACCATCTATTAAGGATATTCGTTTCATTTTTTTCCACAAAAAATATTTCACCTAGTGTACTTATAATGTTTTATTTTGTAGTGAATTGAAACATTCTTTTGCAACAAATCACCTACATATTATGGAAACCCTCTATTAAGGGAATTCGTTTTATTTTTTGTTCCACCAAAATATTTTACCTAGTCTACTTATAATGTTTTATTTTGTATGGATCAAATGTTGCAGTGATTTGAAACATTCCTTCGCTATTTGTTAAAACATTATTTTTAATAAGATGAAACAACGCCCGATTTAAACAATTGAAACATTTTTGATCTACTTAGTGAAACAATTCCGATATACTTGGTGGAACAATATGCAACATTTAAAAATAATTCAATAATAAGCTATTTTTTCATCGGAATATATCCATGTGTGGTCTTGTTTTTCAAAATTTAATTGCAACGAATTTAATGGTACATTCGGTTCATGATTTGGATAAATAATTTAAGAGAAAAATAGTTTAAAATAGTTTTGTATGCATGCATGCCTGATGACGTCATGCTAACGTGGGCGCCCGATTTTTCTCCCAAAAATCGGGCATCCGATTCCTAGTCGCCTCTAGACAATAGTCTAGTCGTAACACTTTCCTGTTTGCCTGAGCCTGACATGTTCAGGCCTAGTCATATAAATCCAATTGTACGATAAGAACATGAGTTATCCTACTTCTGTCTTATGATGTGTCTTAAAAGACGTTTTTTTAAATAAGATATATTTAAGTGCTATAAATTTAGATAGAAAATATGTTTATATTCGTTATACTATAATATATTCCATCCAACCAAAACCCCATATATTTTAGGATGGAGGGATTATGAAATTATGAATCATTTTTCCAATTTAGCTATTGTTTTTTGAACTGCTAATAAAAAAATTGTATATAGAAATTTGTTTTAAAAATCAAATAAATCTTTTTTAGTTGTAATAATAGATTATATTCAATTAATTAATTATTTATTATTTTTCTCGTTTTACGTGTGGCTGAAAAAGCCAAACTATTTACCTGTATCCAATGAAGTCTTTCTTTCTAGTGGTGGTGGCCTGGTGGGTTAAACTGAGTTAGTTTCAGCTTATGGGCTCAGATTTTTTTCCTCGTACTCTATATATATATATATATATACTTCACAGTGTATAAAACTTTTATATAGAAGTTTCTTTAAAAAATCAGCAAATATTTTTTACTATGGTCTTTAATAGTTAATATATATCGAATTTGTGCTAATAAAATGTCTCCTTCTACATACGGTGATAATCCTTATCTACAACATGAATCGAACGGCCGAACGGGACCTTAGTCTGACCAGAAGAATCAGTAAGAGGGTAATATATATGCAAGTTGTGGTTAGGCCGATATATGGTCGGATTATCACAAGGGATCCGATCGAATCGCACGTGACTCCGACCCCCCTCCGGCCGGCCGGCAGCATAAATAACGTACGGATCGGAGGCGACGAGTTGATCGACCGTACGTACGTACGTTACGTGCAGAGGAGAGGGATGGACCTCCTGTGCGACAACATGGTGGAGGAGATCCTCGTCCGCCTACCGGAGGAGCAGCACCTCCGCCGCGCCAGCGCCGCCTGCCGCCGCTACGGCGACATCATCCGCCGCCCCGGCTTCGCCACCCGCCACCGGGAGCTGCACTCGCCGCTCCTCTCCGGCGGCGTCGTCCTCCACGGCGTGCGGCGCCGCTGCCCCCGCGTGGACGGCACCGCAGCCCACGTCCGCGGATCCTACGCCTTCTTCCTCCCCGCCGGCGCCGGCGACGCCTCCGCGTCTTCCTCCTTGGAGTTGGACCTCGCCGGCCTCTTGCCTAGCCCCACCGACAGGGAGCTGGCCTACCTGCTCAGCACCGGCGCCGCCGATCCGGACGCCGCCCGCAGGAGCGTCTTCATCGTGCACTCGTCGTCGTCGGCCGGCCTGCTGCTGTGCTGCCGAGGCTATGTCAACCCGGTGCATTACTACGTCTGCGACCCGGTGGCTCGCCGGTGCGTGGCCCTCCCGGAGCTGCCATGGCCGCCCGCCTTCGACAAGTCCGGCATGCTCTCGGTGGCTGCCGGCGGCGGCGGCGGCTTCCAAGTGGTCCTCTTTGAAAAGAGGGGCTTCGCGCATGGTGGAGGGCACCTAGACCTCGAGGTTTTCTCCTCGGACTCCGGCGAGTGGGCGGCGATGCGCATCCCTCGCCCGCAGGACCTCGCCGGGTTCCGGTGCTTCGCGCCGCCGCACCTCCGGCACGACGGCGCCGCGGCGTACTGGCTCGGGTTCGAGCCCAGGGACCGGGCCGTGGTGTACGGCGCCGCGGACCACTCCATCCGCCTCATCCCGGTGCCACGCCGCGTCCACGACCCCAGCGCGCTCAACCGGTTCGTCGGGGAGCGGCGCGGCGGCGCGCTCCTCCGGTACGCGCACTTCGACGCGGCAGAGTTCGAGGTGTGGGACACGGACGACGCCACGCCGACGCGGTGGGCGCTGGTGCACCGGGCGGCGCTCAAGGACGTGGTGGCCCGCAGCCCCCGGGCGGTGGCCGCCAAATTCGTGCACGGTCGCATCGTCCGGCACATCCACCACCACGACGCGAACTGGAACTGGTGCTCCTCCTTCAAGCTCATCGGCTTCGACCCGGTCCACGACGACGACGTCTTCTTGTTCGGGGCGACCAATGGTAGTGGATGCGTCGCCGCCTACTCCCTCACGCTCGGCAAGCTGAGCCTCCGCTGCAAGATTGACACTGCCGACGGCTCGTCCTCCTTGTGCGGCTGTGACATGTTCCCGTACGTACGCGCGTCCACCACCTCGCCCCGTGCGGACATACCAGGCATGGTGTATACCAATGCCTAGAGTGGAATATATATCATGCATGTTTGTACACCAGCGTGTAGGTTCATAAACTTGACATAATGAACTTCTCTTTAAACTTATTATGCGCATGTTTATTTTACTAAACCTTTTATACCACCAAATTCGTTGGGTACAAATATAGATGGCCATAGGCCCAACGGCCTGGCCCACGGCACAACATTTTGACCCGGCCCAAGCACAGCACGGCCCGTGCCTGCCCCCCCCCCCAACCGGCACGACCGGGCCGGCAGACTAGGCCCGATACACAAAGAATAGGGAGTAAAAGTAGACATGTTATATGCCATGGTCCAAAGAATAGGGACGTCAAATAGACTTATTTTAGTTATATATACATATATATATATACATATATATATATATATATACATATATACATATATACATATATACATATACATATACATATATACACACACATATACATAACATATACATATATATACATATATATGTATATATACATATATATATACATATATACATATATATGTATATATACATATATATACATATATATACGTATATATACATATATATACGTATATATACATATATATACATACGTATATACGTATACATACGTATATATACATATATATACATACGTATATATACATATATATACATACGTATATATACATATATATACATATATATATATATATACATATATATACATATATATATATATATATTGGATCATCCAATAGAATCCAGTTTACCGGATTGAAAAAACAAAATAATTAATACTTGATGTAACAATCGATGCATGCATGCAGCTACTAATTTAAAAATTACTGTTGCATGCAAATTAGTTAGGTATGCAGTGTGCTTTTTTTTCTTCATAATATTCGGTATGTAGCTGATCCAACGTTGAAAGAACATATGTCTTTTTTGCAGGATCCAGTATATACTGTTTTTTTTGTATGACTTAGTATGTACTAGTACGTAGTACATTTTTGGTTGCTGGACTATGTGCTTTTTTGTTGTAATATCCAGTACGTATGTACTTGATTTCTTTATGTATGGTATATACTTTTATAAGTTAGTAACAGTATGCATCTTTTTAAATTAGTAGAGCAGTATATACCTTTTTTATGTTAATAGCGGTATGTACTTTTTTAAATTAGTAGAACAGTATATACCTTTTTTAAGTTAGTAGCAGTATATACCTTTTTATATTATTAAAACAGTATATACCTATTTTAAGTTAGTAGCGGTATGTACCTTTTTATATTATTAGAAAGGTATATACCTTTTATATTTTTTAAGTTAGTAGCGGTATATATCTTTTTAAATTATTAGAACACTATATATTTTTTAAGTCAAGAGCAGAGTATATACTTCTTTTAAAGTTAGTATCAGTATATACTGTTCTTTTTCTTTTCTTAAGGTAGTGGCAGTATATACTTAATTATAAGTTAGTAGGCAGGATATGCATTTTTAAGTACATGCTATTTTAAAATTAGGAGTAGTAAGTATATATATATATATATATATATTAACAAGAGATGCAAAAGTATCGGTACATTCTCTAAGATGCAGAAGACAGCATGTATTGAGATGGGAATATGAAGAATAGAAAATGTTTGAATGTGCCATTCTAATCTAGATATAAACGAAACCATATGCTGACTATAAACCAGAGCATACAATCCAGGCAGTATATCCCATTCACTTCATGTATACCGATTCTGTCTAAACAGAATATCCAATACGAGAAGCACAAAGCTCTGTTTTCTTTTCGGAGCAATATACTCGACTTTCATAATACTTCAAAACAAAATAATGCCACTAAATCACAGTTTCCAAACAAAGGCTTTTTCCCATGGCGCAGACCCTCTACGTAGCTTGTTGCAGGGTTGAGGTAAGCATTTGAGTCATTGGAGTTAACATGTTCTGACGGCGGTTGGCAACCATCTGCATGCAACAAAGGGCACCCACAATGGTTATCTATAGGCTCTCTACAAGAGATACATGTCAGCATATTTTCCTACTTGGAAGAGATTAAATGAAGAGAGAGAGAGTAAAGCTATCTACTAACCTGGAGATAGTCTATAGAGAAAAACGAGGCAATGCATTAGAGAGCTATAGATATCCATGTAGACATACCATTGAAGTGGTTTACTATTAATCTAGTCTATTGCTGAGATGTAAATGTTTTATAGATAGCACCTTACTTTACCATTGCGGGTGCTCTGAGAGGCTTAATCAATGAACTAACAGAAGAATAAAATGGAATTGCCATAGAAAGAATGCATAAAAAAAAATCCCTACCGTTTTGTGCAGCATCGGGCTAGCTGCCACATCAATCTTGCCTCATCAATGCCGTGGATGAAGGATTGATTAACGTTGTGACCTATGAATCACCGCATCGACCTGCTGATGAGAGGTCGCTGCCTACGACGCCATCATGGTAAAGCCCAAAGCTTGCTTGCCAATGACGCCGCTGGGGGGACGATCGTGTCGTCGGTTAGATGGACGATGGGTTGCCCCGTGAGTATGCCGCCGCGCCGCCGCCGCCGATTTCGTTCGTATCAAGCAAAGCCTCGTTTGATCTGCATGTGGGATTTGGATTAGGACGGGATAACTTGTTCAAGCAATTAATCTGATTAGAATCACAAGCGGATTAATAATTGATCTACAAGAGAGGACTTACCAGCATCGTTTTAGCCGCCCATCGGTGCAACGGATGTACATGATGCTGCCTCTATCTCCCTGTTGGACGCTGAATCGGACCAACCGTCGAGCCAGTGCGCTGCGCGCCGCCTAGGAACGACGATCTGGAGTCGATCTTGCCGCCGCCTAGAAATGTCAAATGGCAGGGCAGTAGAGTGCTGCCGCTGGATTTATGTGAGTTGTTAGTTCCAGATCCGAGTTGTATGGGATAATTAAGGATCATGTGAATTCATTTTTCACGTAAAATTGAAACGGGTTCGTTCGATGGGATCCGATAGTAAAATCGTGCAGGCTCATTGAGATGCTTTGGATCGACGGTGGATATAGCAGGAGTACGTACTCCCAGGAGTATATAATCATTTTCGTATATATATATATATATATATATATATATATATGTATATATATATATGTATATATATATATATATGTATATATATATATATGTATATATATATAGGACACTCATATGGGGCACCATGGTGCCCGGGCACCATGGTATCTAATGCACAAAATCACTCAAATTTTTCAAATTTTTCAAATTGTGAGTATATACCTAGTTATAATAATTTGATTCATACCTATACTTATCAACAAAACAACTCAAATTTAACTTTATTTCACAATCCATGATTACATACCTAACTAATTATATGTATGGATGCTATATACCTAGAATCAAAATCTAACAAAAACAAGTTCAAATTCAGTTCAAACTTGCTTTAAACTAGTTAGTAAAGTAGTTAATGTTAATACCTAAGTAATTGAAAAAGTTTCATACTCATTTGAATTGGGTATATACTCAATTTCAACAATGGTGCCCGGGCACCATGGAGCACCAAACAAATTTACTATATATATATATATATATGTATATATATATATATGTATATATATATATGTATATATATATATGTATATATATATATATATGTATATGTATATATATATATGTATATATGTCAGCCCAAAGAGGAGGGAAAATAGACTTATTTTAAAAAAAGGCACGATGGGCTACCCGTGCCTTCGGGCTGGCACGGCACGGCAAGTCCTGACTGCTGGTTGGCCGTGCCTAGGCCGGAGGTGCAGCCCATGGGCCGGCATGGCACGGCCCGGTGTGTTGGTCGGCCCGACAGATTTTGGTCCGAGCACGGCTGTGCCTGGGCCGTGCCGGGCCAGGCCGCCTGTTTGGCCATCTATAGCTACAAATATAATGTGGCAAGTTGTGGAAAAAAAATTGTGAGCCAGAAAAGTGTGGCATGTTACTAAGTGTGACAATGAACTAAGCACTAGGCTAACTTGGTCAAAGTGCCTAACCACGAGTTTGGCAAATTGTGGTATTCAACTAAAGAACCCTTATATGTACCATGATAGCGAAGTTAGTATAGCTCAATTGGTTAAATTCCCCGTGCTGGAATGTACCCATTTGAGTTTTTTTTTTTTTACAAACTGCATCAGACAATGCAAAATAATGCAAGTTAAATTCTAATATAGTAGGAAAAATATCAAGAGCTGTAGTCAAAACCGCTCGGTCGCTCCGCCCCAGGGGCGACGCGGGCGGCGAAACCCGCCGCCGCCCCACCCTTCCCCTCCTCCCCCCGCCTAGCCGCTGCCCGAGCAGCCGCCGGCAAAGCCGGGCAGCTGCAAAGACGGCAGCGGCGGGGCTCCCCATCTCCCTCACTTGGTCAACGCGGTTGGGGCGACGACGAGACCGGAGGCGGGAGCACGGCACCGGCTACGATGTTCGGATCTAGAGCCGGTGAGCTCGGATCCGGCCCTCGCTTGGCGGCAGCGAACCTACGAGGGGCTGGCGGGATGGTGGCGGCGTTGGCGTGAGCTACGCGACGACGTGGCCGGGCGGCGGCGACGGCGCGTGCTACACGACACCAGGCCGGGCGGTGGCGACGGCGACGAGCCCAGGCCAGCGCGTGGTGAGCTCGGATCCGGCCCTCCCTTGGCCGGATCTGGTACTTCCACCGGCAGCGGCGAGCCGACGAGGGACTGGCGAGACGGCGGTGGGCGGCGGCCCTCGATCCCGCAGCAACGTCGAGGCCGGGCGGCGGCGACGATGGGCTTCTCCGGCGCGGGCTCGTCGGCGACGACGGCTGCTCTGGCGCCGGCTGCCACGGACCCGGCCGGGGGCTGCCGACCTGCTGCGGTTTGCCGACGATGGGGACGACGCCTCCATCTCCCTCCTTCCTTTTCCTCCAGATCCGGCTCTCCTCTTCTTCAGTTGTTCTTCTTCCAGTGCTCTCCGGCGGTGCGGCGCCCGCTCCCCTCATCTTAGGTACTCCTCCCTTCTTAGGCTAGGCTGCTTCCAGTCATTGCCGGGGAGCTCCTTGGTGTGGTAGGGGTGGCGTGCGGAGTTGGATTCCGGCGTTCTATCTCGTTGTTCGTCGGCCGCGCCGTAGGTTTGCTGCAGTTGGGTTCCTGTGTGTGAGGTGGTCTCTGGTCGAGCTGCATTGTGATTGACTGTTGAGGCAGAGTCGGAGCTGCTTGTCTTGCAAGCTCGGCAACGATGACCCTCAACAGACGTCCAGGCAACGCGACGAGGGTTTGGAGGTGGAGCATTTTTGAGAGAGTCTCGGGTGAAAACCTTGCCTAGTGCTTTCCTAGGCTGATGATATCGATGCCTGTGGGTGCCGTTTCCTCCTTGGAGGTATCGTCATGATGGCTCTCTCTCCCTTCAGGTGAAAACCGGGTTCCATTTGGGGACGAGCGTTGACAACATTCTTAATGTTGTTTTCCTTGTTGAAGGCTTCGCTCAGAAGGTTTCTGCTCCACTAGAGGATGTTGGGTGGTTATGGAGACCTTGTTGAAGCTGCTTGCCTTTGGCAAGCTCGGCAACGACGACTTGTATGAGGTCTCAATAGTTGCTTTCTTTTCCTTTTCTGTATAGGTTTTTGCCGGTTTCCTGTTCAATTAACCGTGATTGTTCGGTTTTTGGACCCGGTTTCCCTTATTAACTGGGCCATTTCTCTTCTTCTATAAATTCTGACAGGAGAAACTCCTATCATCGGTTCCTCGAAAAAAAATATAGTAGGAAAAAAACACCAAGACTGCAGACCTAAGAGGCTATCTATAGTCAAGAAGGAAAGACGTCGTGCCATAAGCCAACAACACAAGCCACTGAGGAAGGAGCCTAGCACCAGGTCGGCCACGGCTAAGCACGGCCTATTGTCTCTGGGCCTAAACCTTCGCCTGGAGCCCGACTGCCTGCCATCTTATCTGTGGTGGCCTCATCATCCATCAACTCAGCTACCACCAAACACCATCACCTACACATGGTCGCCACATGGCCCACAAACCAACACCCCTCTGCTGGCCAACCCCTGCTCGACGATGGGCTTCAAGGAGTCTCCACTCCTGCTGTTACCCTCCGTCGGCAACCCTCATTGGCCCTCAGACCACCACATTCATCCTCACCATGGAGCTCCTCGACTAGATCGAGAAACGGATTGGACATACGACGGTAGGAGCTCCAAGGAGAAAGTGGGGACCCAACCCTAAGGAAGATGATCCTTCGTCGATGTCTGTTCCACTATGCTGACCACCTCTGTATCCAGGCGTAGATCGCCCTAAATAGCACCAGGCAAGGCCAACCATCTGATCACCAGCTTCCCACTTATCATATAGAGCTCCCCGTGACCTGATATGGACTGACTAGGTATAGGAGGGGAGGAGCTACAAGGTGAAAGAAGCTTGACTAGACATGGAGCTCTGACAAATGACGGGGTTGGCAAGTGGGACAATGCGGTGAAAAGCATCAACATTGTGGCCAGTAGGTGAAGGAAGACACTTGTGGTGATGGAGAACTCTATAGATGGCCATATGGCCCGCGGCTCGGCACAAGGAACGCCATTTTGGCCCAGCCCAAGCACGGCACGGCCCGACTGGGGTCGTTCCCATGCCGGGCCATGCCTGGGCTGCAACCTTGGCACGATGGGCTGGCCCGGCACGACACGATCGAAGAAAAATAGTATAGGGATGCAAAATAGACTTAAATAACCATATAAAGCAAGGCCAAGAAGCACGATGGGCTGTCGTGCCTGGGCCGTGTGTGCAGCCCGTGGGCTGGCACGACATGTAGGTCGGGCCGTGCCGACCCGACTAACCTCAGCCGAGGCAGGGCCGGGCCTGGGCCATGCCGTGTCGGATGGCCCATTTGGCTATCTATAGAGAACTCTACTGCCTGCCGGGAGCGTCCCTAGGGAGGACCACCGTGGAGAGCTAGAGGCAAGGAGTACAGTGGCAAGGTGTAATAGAGGGAGGAGGAAGAAAAGGAGGAGGGTGAGGGGTATGTTGCGCACTACAATTTTTTTTTGTTGTAATGGATCTTTTTTTTTATGCTGCACATGATGTTATTTTGAATGTTTTAATGAGTATTTTATTATGTTTCACTAGTTCATTCATAAATGTTGCACCTGGCGTCATTGGGATGTTTCTATAGGTATTATGTAATGTTTCAACAATTACAACTTGATGTTGCATGTGTGATAAAAAATGTTTAGATTAGGATTGAAGGGTGGTTCATTTTCTCTATTATTTTTTGTCAGAATATAATCCCGTAAGATTTTGTTATAAAGTTTTAATTACAACGAATACAATGGTAAATTTATCATAAATTGAATAATTACGTTAGGAGGAAGAATTATTTAAAGTTTGCTGATGAGTTGGTTTTATATGTAAGGAGAACTGGAGAAGCCCATAAAAAGAGAAAAGAGAGAACAACCTAGTTAACTGAGGAGCCAAGTGAGCATGAGCCAAGCTCATGAGCCCAAGCTTTTTCCATTCTTAAGAGCAACCTACGATAATACGTAGGAGCGAGGGGAGAGCACTGGGTGCCCGACATGCTAGAACTTGCAAAAGTCTATTTTTTTTGATGAGTTAGTGATAACTGCATCACTTAAAAAAGTTTCCTTCCTTGCTCATAAAACATCACTAGATAATTACTCCTCCCTCCAGTTTCATATTTCTTAATGTTTTCGGCAATGGTACAGTCTCCAAAATATATTTTTTGACTATATATTTTTTTTCTTATAATATATACCATAAATAAATACATTTTACTTTTATATCTACTGGAAAAAAAAGCCCGTGCGTTGCAACGGGTAAAGACTATTTTAATAGTATTATTGTTAGATATATCTTTTGTCTAAAAAGTATATGGGTTTTTTAATTATGAGATGATATCCAATTCGAAACCCTTGTATTTTTAAAAGCAAACGAATTTTAAAACCAACTTCAATACACACGACATACCAAAACTATCGGCGGAAACAACTTCAATTTTTAATAATAAATCACTTACTCCTAAATAGCCGAACGAAATCATATGTTGAAAAAATGATGTTAAAAAAATCATATGTAGATAAATCTTTCACAAAATAAACAGACATGCGTGAAAGCTGCCCATACAAAATTTTGTATGTTTTGCATTTGCATGTGTGCAAAATTATTGAAATAAACACAAACAAAACTGAAATAAATAGTATGTCACATATGCTTAGAAGATGGGCAATATTTTTCACTGAGACAACCCAAAATAGGGATGGGCAATATTTTGGACCCTTTTTCAATTTTAGGCCCATATGTGCACAAACATATTGGATGTGGAGATAAAAAGGAAAACATGAATATCGTCACAACGCTAAAAACATATATGAATAAGGATAGGATGGTTTGTTAAAATGAAGGGACAATGGACGAAAATACGATGAGTATAAAATCATCTTCAATTATTATAATAGCTAAAAATTACGATGGAAATGTTTTGTTCTTTTTGGAAGGCAATTTTTTTTGCCTTTCTTATTATTTTTCTTTTTTTTTCGCCTTTTTTATCTTTATGGCTAGAATTTTTTTCACGGCCTTTTTTCGGTCTTTATTTTTTCGGACTTCCTTTTTTGTTTTTTCGCTTATTTTACGTATTTTGGGATTTTTTTTCTTTTTTACTTTTTTAATCGTTGCGTACAAATCGGATCTTTTTTATGAGAAAATCCATGAAATGCCATCGACAAAGGCAACTTCCCAAAAATACCATTGCACAAGCCTCTTTCTCCCAAAAATGCCGTCACCGTAAAACTGCTATTAGCATCTTTCCGTTAAGTTGCATGAAAAGACAATCTTACCCTTAGACAACCATTTACTCACATAACATCATTTTTCATTGTTTGGTCACAATAAATTATATTTCTGTTAGCTTATAAATTCACCAACATCATTATTTTGCTATCAATCAAGTTATTCCATAATTAAATTCATTGAAATCAAATCAAACAAAGTCTCCAAATGAAATCAAACAAACGGGGAAAAAATCAACATCAGAGTTGCAACACCTGCTAGGACCTCTCTTCGCCGGCGTCTATGGCCCCCGCGCCACATCCTGCGACAGCCGCGCCGCCGTGGACATCCTTGCCAAGCCCTGCCGTGCCACCACCGCCGTGGACCACCTCGCCGTGCCCTGCCACACCGCCGCCGCCGTGGACCTCCTCACCGCGTCCTGTCGCGTCGCTGCCGTGGTCCTCGTCACCACGTCTTGCCGCACCGCCACCACCCTAGTCCTCCTCGCCGCGTCCTGCCGTGTCGCCGCCGTGGTCCTCCTCGCCGCACCCTTGCCGCGCCACCCCCGTGGACCGCCGCCACCCTGGTCATCCTCGCCGCGTCCTGTCGCGTCGCCGCCATGGTCCTTCTCGCTGCGCCCTTGCCGCGCAGCCACAGCTGGGGATCGCCGCCCGAGCCACAGCCACCACCGGGGACCGCCGCCGACACACAGCCACCGCCGAGGACCGCCGCTGCCGTGGACCTCCTCGCCATGTCCTGCCGCTCCGTCGCCGTCCTGGTCCTCCTTGCCGCGTCCTGCCACGTCGTCGCCGTGGTCCTCCTCGCTGCGCCACCCCCGTGGACCGCCGTCGCGCTGATCCACCTCGTCGCGTCCTTGCCGCGCCGCCGCAGCAGGGGACCACCGCAGAGCCACAGCCACCGCCGGGGACCACCGCCAAGCCGCCGTCGTCGAGACGCCGCTGGGGAGAGCGCTGGATCGGGATCGGGATCGGTAGCGGTAGGGTTAGGGTTGGAAATTTCAATTTTTTCTTTGACAGTGAAAACTGGGTATATTTTGCACTGAGGACAAAATGATAATTATTAAAAAAAATAACGGTTGTAACGATGTGGAGTTGACGGTGATGGCATTTTTGGGAGAAAGAGGCTTGTGCAATGGCATTTTTGGGAAGTTTCCTTTGTCGATGGTATTTCTGGGATTAGGGTGCATGTCGATGGCATTTCATGGATTTTCTCTCTTTTTATTTTTATTACGAACGACTTTTTTTTCGCCGTGTTAGGGGAATCGGACTTTTCTTTTTGGGACCTTTTTCGCTCTTTTTTCTTTTTTTTTTCCGGACGGTTTTTTCACCCCTTTTTAAGCTGATTTTTTTCACCCTTTTTTAAATTACGGGCGACAGACACGTTATCATTGCGCCGAAGGGCGCACGCATCTCGGATAGGGCGTGCGGCAAGGGACGGGCCCAATCGCTGATACGGAAACATATTGAATTAGAACCGATTCAGATAAGGAAAAAAACCAAAATACAGATAAAATCAAAATTCTGATACGGAAACATATTCAATTAAAACCGATTTAAACACGAATGACGACGTACCAAATTTTCAGGCAAAAACACCTTGAATTTTTATAATAGTAGAGATATATATTGTTCTAGTGCCTCTATAAACTTAATATATATTTTTAAAGTTATTGATAATTAAATTATAAAATTTTAACCTCAATACTATCCAAAACATGAAAGAACTATGAAATCGAAGGGAGCAAGTGTATATCTATATTCTATAGGCTTAGTTAATGTAACCCAGTACTCGCAAAAAAATTAACCTACTTAATATGTATTGAGTCCACGATGCAATTAATTTTATTGCTTTTTCATAACAGCGCCGATCCATGTTGGTGTTGCTCTATCTATCAGAACTAAAGCCTGATCTGCCAGCAACTTGTTTAAAGAAAGTTACAAGAGAAAAACAAAGAAAAAGGCTAATTAAATTCTATCGGGGCAGATAAAAATTTCGATCTTGTACTGCATCGGACATGTGTGCCAGCGGTGTTCGTCGTCTTCCACGATCACTTGTCTAGTTGCCTGCATGCACACAAAATAAAGTCGCATTCAAATTAAAATTAAAAACGTACTATATATATAACTCCGTTTAAATCCGAGAGCACACTATAAGCTGCTGGGCATTAAGAATTTAAATGTCCTAAAATATAAACATTTTTTTTAGTCTGACACGGTCTCCGATATGCTACTTACGACCAACAATATCTATATCTATAAAAGTATAAGATGTTTTAAATAAAAAAAGTTGCATAATATAATAGTTTGTTTAATAATAAATATAGTAACATCAATTTTACATAATTGATTTTTATTTATTTTATTACTATTAATAGTCAAAATTAAATGTTAATCTGCCACTATACTTAAAAATGTTTATATTTTAGAATGAAGGAAGTATATATAAAAATGTTTATATTTTAGAATGGAGGGAGTATATATAGAGGAGTAAATTCAGCTATACCTCTCCCGGCCATGATCCGATCAACGTCAGCTTTGGCAACGTCGAACCTGTACTCCACAGCCGCCGTCAGCTTGGCCGCGGCCGCCTGCACGTCGGCGCTGTCGACGGTGGCCGCCGACTCGGTGATGCGCCGGACGATCGTATCCTTGGTCGACTCCATGGACTGCACCAACGTCGCCGACTCAAGACGATCGCCCGTCGGCTGCTGCCCGTAGCCGGACATTATCTTCTTCTTCTTCGATTTGGTATATAAAGCTAGCTAGCTAGGAGCTAATTAGGAGTTGAAACTGAGATCACTGTCTACGCATCATATATATCAGAATGCAAATCGATCGATTATATATAGCACATGGAGAGATAGAGGTGCAGATCGATCGAGCAGGTAAGTGCACACACGCTGATGCTGCTGTGCTTAGGTTTTCCATCTCGCCGCCGGTGAATTCAGCATGGGGCGTCTGGGCAGATACGTGGCGCCGTATGCATGAGTGAAATCTGCATGCTCTGGCTAGGCTCTAGCTGTGTAGTGATTTCTAAGACGGATGGGAGCACTACACTGTATTGTTGTTTTCAGTCTCCTTAATTTTCTTTTGGTTCACTTTCATATATAGTTGAAGAGTATATCACTCTTCCATTTAATTAAGGAGAATTCAATCCCGATGATTTTACATGGGCCAATATTTTAATTCAATCTCCTAACTTATACATGTGAATGGGCCAGGATTAAGGCCCCCATCGAAAGAGGGTCTCAGGATGGCAAATAAGATTTCGTTTTTTTTAAGAGAAGGGTATTTTTTTACCTGGCCTTTACATGCATCCAATCGGATATATGCAGCCTTTTTAAATTATGAACTTAATCCCTCAAGCCTAATCTGAAATTCGCTCCTATATATGGAGATTTGAAATTATGACCTTTAGGTGCTACTTAGGTCACTGCAACCACTAGAATACATGCCTTTTTTAGGACGACTATAAGAATACTAGCTCAGTTTTTAGATGGCCTACATATTTTTATCAAGTGGAATTCTACTAATTTTTTGTTAGGGTAACTACAGTTAGGATAGGGGTGCTATTTAACTGTGGGGGCTTAATTCCCTACAGTGGTCTTGGTAAAAAGGGATAGGAGTGCTAGAGTGTGCTACACTGCTACCTATCCACAATACAGATGCTTTGGTGCTTAACAAAAAGAAACTTAATGGTTGTCTAGGGCAACACTATCATAGGCTTGCACCAGAGTGAGGCTATTATTCTTGTTCCTTGTCATGGACATTGGACAATTAATCTGCGGTCCGGAGCCTCCTCAACCTTTTACCAAACTGAAGGAGAGTGTTGGTGCCTTTTTGGGTTAACACGGACTTATCTAAAGATTTACGGTGTTAACAGAGTCACCAACCACCTTGATCTAGAAAACTCCCAATCAAGATGGGTTTAGGAAAGAGCAAAACCAGCCAGTGGAGCCGATTTAATTTAGAGATCAAATCAGCCTCTAGGCTGATTTAGATAGATATGGTAGTAAACACCCGTCTCGTGGGTGAATCGGAAGGTTTACGGGACAGACCTACAAAGGGTATCGGGCTCTCGCAGCGTAGGCGAACAATTTATGACGTAAATCGATAAAGATGGACGAAACTAGGGTAAAGTAGAAAACATTACTGAAAAGTAAAAGGAACGATTTGATAAATTGTGTAGGGGATTATGGTCGGTGTTAGAATATAATTGGCCATAACCCTTATGAAGGGGTTGGTGTTACCTCCATAGGGTTTTTTCCACGTTCTATTAAGTGAGATCAATTAGGACTCAAAGAAACCTTGGACGGAAGCTACGAAACACGAGAATTGCCTTAGCTAGACTCAGACTCGGGGCTTTCGGTCTGACTGGCCACCTACAGTCAGACTACAGTTCACCCTCCGATCTGATGACGGTCAGCTCATCCTCCTCGGGAAAGCTCCGGTCTATTCCAACTCTGGCCCAAACTTGCTATAAATTTGTCCTAGTACTAAATTTTGTTGTTAACACATGTCTGACCCCTGTCATTTTAGCAAACTTGTGAGCTGAAAAGCATAGAACACGTGGTCTCAGGGTGATGATTTCTATCGGCCATATGTGCTTTCAAATGCCTAGTAATTAAATCATTCTCTTTATAGCGTCCCAACAAATCAACAATCTTCTAAGAACAATTCACACATTTCGGTATAGACATTTCCAACTAGATGATTACCCATCAAGCCTTTTGCATCTAGACCATAATGGTAAAATCATCTATTCATGTCAATTTTTAATCTTGAAACGATTCTACCCCAGTTCTGTTATTATGGGCTTTGTCTATAACTTCATATCATCCGTTAAACCTCTTTCTAATCTTCAAAAATTTCTTGGTCACTTTATCACTATTAGTGTCCCATAACAATTGACCGATAAATCACCTCACCAAACATAGGAGAATCAACCGGCTAAATGATTTATCTCGCAAACCAATTGATAAATTTCACAATGCCTTATAAACACTTCATCCATAGCAATTTTAGATTGAGCGGCATCCAAACATATACTTTGAAAGCACTATTATATGATTCGGCAATGTAACTCTTTATTAAACAAGGTGTATTGGATGCTTACGCCAAACTCTCCAATATATCTTCTTCAATCAACTATCTTGCTTATATCTTTGAAAAGTTCCACTAGTGGAATCCTCCTATTGGTACCTTGAATTCATAATAGATCAACCGAATTTCATAGGTTCAATTCGGTTATATAATCAAATTTGAGCTCATGCCCCTGGCTACATACCACGGCTGCAATCCCTAGTTGGACTGATGTTAGAGCTATGGTCATTGGTCATACTGGCCAAGAAACCGCGGTTAGATTGGCATTGAAGCATCGACCAGACCAGCCATGAGGTTGTGGTTAGATCGACCTGATATGCAATTATCTCACACAATTTCTATGCAATATACCAAAATTCTGATTTTTCAAAAGACATCTAAGCTAAAATTCGGTAATAAATTTTTCAAAAATTGTTGGTTAGAACTTAGAAACTAAAGAAAAAATTCAGTACGACATGAATACCATCCTTTTACCCTACCACCTTAACTAAGTGTGGCATATTGTCAGAGTTACGGATAAGGTATACCCTCTATCCTTGGATGTATACTGTATACTGATACGGTATACCCGCGCGTATACGGACAGTTTCCGTATACATTAAGGAAATCTATCACGTAATAGGGATGGTATCTACATATGGAAGGAGTTCTACTCGGAAAAGATTGGGTCTTAGCCATATCGTGAGGGGTCCAATGTCTTCGAGTCCTACTTGGAGATCAACTGACCCGCGGTATATAAGGGACCCCCTGGGCAGGACCTAAGGCATTGAATCTTACTGCCAACACAACCACCACAGCCTACGGAGCGCGCAGGAGCCAAGTCGTCGGGAGACCTAGTCGAACCAACTCGACTACGATCTCGTCGGCATCATTGAGTTCTGCTATTCCCTTTGTAATCTATGGTTTCCATCATATAATCCCATACCAACTGGATTAGGGCTATTACCTATCAAGGGGTCTGAACCAGTAAAATCCTTGTCTTTTATCTGCCTGATGTCATATTATGTATATCCTCGTATCAACGGACCCCAATACCCTCTATATCCGGTCTGCGGGTATCCCCCGTCGACAGTGGCGCGCCAGGTAGGGGAACTTGGTGCTCAAGGTTCTACTACTATGACTTCAAGCCTTCCCGACTACAACGTCAACACCGGCATCAACCAAGGAGCTTCAACTTCGACGACGCTGGTGTGGACTCAAGTTGGTGAAATCGTCTTCCCGGTCTACACCACAATGCCGATCTCGACTGGCCCAGCAATTATCGGGAGCGAGAACGGTGTGGTTACGACCCCGGTCGACAACCCCATGTCGAAAGATCCTCCCGCGGAAGCGGAGAACAGAACATCGACAATACCCGAGCCTGAGAAGGATCCTAATGCGGCCAGATCTTGTCCTCCCCACAAGAAATGCGAGCTGACGAGGACAGCTTCCTGGGCGACAAGAGCTTGGTGTCCCGTCCATAGGACTAGCAAGCACACCTTGCAAGCTTGTTTCGTTTTCCTCAATGTACGAGCTGAAATCCGTGCCTGCGAAGAGTGCGGAATTCAGCGTACTTCCCCAACTCGTGACATCTATTGTCCTATCCACCAGGCAAAGACTCACGACCTCTCAAGCTGCAAGGTCCTTCTCAACGCCATGAAGATATCACCCCATAAGGTCCAGCAGTTTCAAATCTCTTCTCGAGATGCTGACAAGGAACAAGGTGCGGCGACTACATCAGATTGATTCGTTAGGGTAATCGATATTGATCCCCACAAGCCATCTATCCTACATCTGCTCAAAGACCAGGCCTCATCATCGACAAGTACACCGCGCGACGTGTATGCTATCGATGGAACCGGCACATCTGGAGGCGGCCACACGGGAACGGCGGATCAATTGGTTACACCGACGCTGGCCCAACATATCAAAACTCTCAATGCGATATTGAACAAAAGCCCTTTTGATCCCGTCCTGTACGCTGATCTCGATCACTGGGCAGAATGACTACGGGAATCAGTGGCTAATCTCAATAACGCGTTCGCAGAGGCCGCCGCCAGGGCACCACTAGAACAACCGCGGATCGATGGCGCTAATAGGGAACAACGAGATGGAGACCTGCCCGAGGACAGTGATCCAACTCAGCGGTCGCCACCTCGTCAACCTACTCCTCCACCCCGCGGCACTAGTGATCTCCGCGAGCACCTAAATGGCCGCCGAGAAGCACGACTCGCTCGAGATAATGAAAACCGTTGCCGACATCGTGCCTCTTCACGACATTGCAAGAACGAAGAACAAGGAGGACGTCCGAGCCAGAACCGAGACCGTGATGATTGCCACAACCGCCGCGAACATGCTAATCGTGAACAGCGGATGCCGAGTGATACCAGTCGAGGTCGACGCCGTGACGACAGTGACAACAGAGATCGACACCGGGACAACAACGATGGACGACGACGAGGTTCACGAGAACCCGAGCATCGTCCTTGAAGCCGTGCCTCGGAACCAAGTGACCCATCGTCGTCATCATCATCTTCATCATCGGACAGACATCCACGATGAGCGCGTGATCGCCAACAACCTACTACCCCTGGCGGTGGGTGCAGGGCTTTCACTCGTACCCTGCGAGATGTTCGATGGCTTGAGAAGTTCCGACCGGGAGCAATAGAGAAATACGATGGAAGCACCGACCCTGAAGAATTTCTCCAGGTCTACTCCACGGTCCTCTAGGCTG